AGCAGTTGCACCTGCTGGATCAGTCTCCCGGTGGAGGGGCCACTTTCCTGCACACGCTGGCACTCTCCTGTTTCTGCTGGGTCTCACTCCAGTAGAAGTGGGTGGGGACGTGCTCCAGCACCCTGTGGGTCCACCGGAACCTGAATAGAACAGTCCAGGTCCAGGAGAACCGTCAACGATGGCGCTCACCGGTTCCTCCCATCCTGGGCGGTTTCCTCTGCCCCCAGAGACCTCTGCTGTTTCCCCCAGCTTCTCTAGGCAGTCACTCTCTCTTGTTTGTTGTGCAGTGGCTGCTCTGCTGGCTATCCATTTCTTTCTCGAAGAAAGCCCTCCTAGAATCTTCTGTCCTGGTTTGCCTTCTCTAGGCCTGCTGTCCAGCCATCAACCAGTGACCATCATCCCGGGAATCTGCTTCACTCCTCATATCTGTGTTGAAATAGATTCAGTGTCTTCCTCCTTCTTCGGATACTCCTTTGCGTAGGTGGATTACAACTCGGGTAGCTTTCTGAGAAAGTGTACATGAAAGGGAAATGTTTTAAACAATTGCATGCCTGCACATAGTTTTCTGTTGTTGTTGTTACACTTGTTAGATTGGCTGGGTTTAGAATTCTACAATGAAATTCTGTTTTTCAGAAATTTGAAGGCTTTGCTCCATTGTCTTCTATTTCCAATTTTGCTGAGAAGTCCACTATAATTTATGATGCTTTTTATTTGACCTGCATTTTTTTCCCCTCTGGAAACTTTTAGGATATTTTTGTTGTCCCAATTTGTAATTTAATTTTATAGCGATGTGCCTTGGTATGAGTCTTTTCTCATTTATTGAGCTTGGTTCTTGGCGTCCTTTTGATCTAGAAATTTAATACAAGTTTTTCTTGTGTTATTTCTTTACTAGTCTTCTTTTTTTTTTTTTCATGGATATAATGCTCATCTCTAAGGATAGAAATTAAATTTTCTTGAGATTTTTTTCTTCCCTGCCTTACCTCTTTCTCCAAATCTCTTCCTTTAGTGTATTTGTTTTGGTCTTTCTTTCAGGTAAGAATCATGACTCAAATTTTCAGTGGTCCTTGGCTGTCCATTTATATTTAACAGTGAGGCACTAAAAAACAATAGGAAGTTCTGTACACGTGGGCTTCTCTTGGGCTGATCAGTTTCTAACGAAGAAATCTTTCATTCATTCTCCTGCCGGGAGTTATGTGGGCAGAGTGGTGGTATGCCGTGTTTCTGGTAACCCAGAGAAAAGAAGGGAATTGGAGTCTTTCTAGTCATATGCAGACTTCTCTTTAATCCTCTATCAGCAGACGATGCTTTATCCCTGCCTTCCCCTGTGTCTGCTCTCTGTGAATTCAACCCCTCGGGTTTGGTGTGTCCAGAGAGGAAACCTCTGCTCCTCTCTGTGGTCTAGGGGATAAATCGGCTTGTTTCTTCTTGCCATTTGTCCTGCATGAGTCATATTTTAGCTTTGCCACTCTGCTAGCTCAGTTACCACTCACCCAACTGTTTTCCTTTTCTAAAATGTATTTATATCTTCTGACTGCTCTTTTCATCCTTGCTGACTTATACCCTTCTTTTAGGTCATTTTAGTGGGATTTCAGGAGAGAGCAAGTTAAATATGTAGCTCGATCTTTCATGTTAACAGGACGTGAAAATGCAGCTTTTTTTCCCCAGTTGAATGTCTTTTGGCCTTTTCAGAGTAAACAAAAGATTAACATTTAGGCTGAGAAATTATTCCTCTTTTCTTGTGCTCTTGCCTGGAAACGTAGGGATGTGTCCCCGCAGTGTAGCACCAGCTGTATGAGGAGGTGCTGCTAATGAGCTACGATACAGCTGTAGTAAGGTATCCTGTCCTTTTATGCCTAGAAATCAAACATACCTGTGCTCTAAAACCTAAAAGTTAAGAGGATATAAATGCTGTACACCTGAATCTAATATAAAATAATATTGAATGTAAACTGTAATTGAAAAATAACATTTATTGAAAATGGAATCTAAAAAAGAGGAAATCTTAATATAAACAGTACTTTTAAAATCACATGTAAATTGCTGTCTCTTTTTTAAAAGATTTTATTTATTTACTTTTAGAAAGGGGAAGGGAAGGAGAAAGAGAGGGAGAGAAACATCAATCAGTTACCCCTCATTTGCGCCCTGACCAGGGACCAACCCAGAACCCAGGCATGTGCCCTGACCAGGAATCGAACCGGTGACCTTTCAGTTTGTAGAACGATGCCCAACCAACTGAGCCACACCAGTCAAAGCTGTCTCTCCTTCTAAGCTATACTTTTTTCTATCACTTTGAAGCATTACCATGGAAAAATGTGAAGAGGTATCGGTTCTGACTAATGAAGATTACCATGAGTTATAGTAGCCTAGGACTCGAATATTTGAATAATTCCTTTTGTGGAGTTGATGAGACAATTATTGACTGAATGTGGCGTGTGTAATAAAGACATACTATTTTTTACCCTTCTGATTGGTACAAATTTGGAAGTCTGGTAGTGATATCAAATGTTAACAAAGGTACAGAAAAACAAATACTCTCATACACATATATAGCTATCAGGAGCGTAAATTGGAATAGCCACTTTGGAGGACAATTTTGTAGTATCTGTGAAAATTGAAAATGTGTACTCCCCATGATCCTATAAATTCCACTTGTCTGTACTCTAGAAAAACCTGGCACATGTGCATGGAAGGCATGTACAAGAATATTTCATTATGGCAGAAAACCAGAATGAGATAGTTCTATATATGCTGTGATATAAATAAGTCTCCAAGACCAGGTTTTTTAAAAAGGGAAGTTACAGAATAATATGTACATTAAGTGTAATTCTTTTTATCTTTAATATATTTCAATAGGCACACACATACATATATGCACATTTGTGTGTGTGTACATTATATGTTATTTTTGTATCTATTTACATATAGTATATATTTTAGACATTTTCTGCATATATTTATTAATAACATATATTCTATGGATTTACATATATGTATAAATGTCTAGAATATGTAAACATCTAGAAAACCATCTGGAAGTCCTGCATTAAGCCAGTAACTGTGGTCACTTCTGGAGAAGGGACTGGAATTTTGGCAGAGGTGGGGCAGTCAAGGGGACTTGCCCTTTGTATATGTTATCTGGACTTTTTTTTTTTTTACAAGAATGTCTTCAGCAGAAGTAGCTTTTTGAAGCAGCGTGTGAGTTATGGTGGTCTTTTGTCAGCTTCCACCATGGCATACCGTGGCCAGGGCCAAAAAGTGCAGAAGGTGATGGTGCAGCCCATCAACCTTATCTTCAGTTACTTGCAAAATAGGTCTCGGATTCAGGTGTGGCTTTATGAGCAAGTGAATATGCAGATAGAGGGCTGTATCATTGGTTTTGATGAACCTTGTATTAGATGATGCAGAAGAGATTCATTCTAAAACAAAGTCAAGAAAACAACTAGGTCAGATCATGCTGAAAGGAGATAATATTACTCTCCTAAGTGTCTCCAACTAGAAATGACTAATGAAATGAAAAATCATTGAGGAGCAATACAGTTTGTGTTTAAGTGTTCTTTGTTGCGGGTAGTCCTTGAACATTTATTCATATTGTTTTGAGTACCCTTTTGTTATTGCCAGACCACGATAAATGCTATGTGATTGCTTTTATAAAAAAAAAAAATTTCTTCATATGTTAGTTCTATAAGTAAACATGCATATACATGTATGTTACTGCCAATTTAAATATGTGAGGTAACTATAAAGCAGTGAGTTCAGCTTTTATTGGTTACACTGAAGTGGTTTGGGATATTTCGTGGAAAGTAGCTCATGCCTATTGAGAAAGCTTCTCAGCTAAAGCCCTACCTAATGTGCCTCTGCTTCTTGGTGTCATTTCAGTGCTGGTCTAGCGCTTGCATATACTCTTGTTGGCTGCCAGCCACTCTTTCACCTTTCATCATTTTCCTTTCATCTTTTTTCATTGTGATAACAGGAAGGAATCTGCCCATTGGGTTTTTCCTAGTCTTCAAAACTAATGCGTTTCCTGAATGCACACAGATCTACAGTTGCTATTGAGTACATGTTTGAAAGTTCTGAATATAGGGATGTTTGTGCAACTCTGTACGGTTTATAAAATGTCTTTACTTTTTTTTATCTTATTTGATCTTTCCAACAACCCCTTGATGCAAATGGTGTGGTTAAGTGTTTAGATAGAGGGGGCAACTCTTGGGGTCCCTGAGACCACCCCAGGTTTGACGATTCGCCAGGAGGACTCACAGGACTCGGCATGTGGTCACACTCACGGCCAAGGTTTATTACAGTGAAAGGGTACAAAGCAAAATCAGCAAAAGGCAAAGGCACGTGGGGCCAAAGTCTGAAGGAAACCCACGGAGTCATGCAGAATGTATCTTCTTTTTCCAGCAAAGGGTTGTGACAACATGTGTGAAATGTTGTCCATCAGGGCGGTTTCTCTGAGCCTAGGAATCCAGGGTTTTTACCTGGGGCCAGTCATCTAGGTCTTCTCTGCCCAGCACATACCAGAACTCGAGACTCTCAGTAGGAAAGCATGTGTTCAGGATAAATCATCTTGTTCTCACAGTTCAGGAATAGGGAGCCACTTTTATCAGTTACGGAATGGTGGGAACCCTACCAAAACCCAAGTTTTTCAGACATGAGCCAAGAACCAAACTTCCAAGCAGGCCTGTTTAAAGATAGTAGTCTCACGCCTGCTATAGTAACGCTGTTCTGCACAGAAACTAAAGCTAAAACAGATGAAGTGACTTTCCTTAAGATATTTAGATTGTAAGTCCTGGAATCAAGGCTCAAGCCCAGGCCCCTGGATTCCAAGTCCATCCTTTTCCCACTGCCTAACATCAGTCTCCGTCAAATCAAGTACAAATGTTTTTAGTGTGCAATTGAAGGGGTGACATTGAGTGCATAATTCCTTAAGACATGGAATGTTGAAGCGATTTTCTTCCTGTGCCTTTAATGCCTTCTTTGTCTCTGACCTATAACATTTGTAGGATAACATAAAAAATCTAGAATTGGAAGTCATCAATCTGCAGAAGGAAAAGGAAGAACTGCTTGCTGAAATTCAGACAACGAAGAAGGATGTCAACCAGGCCAAGTAAGAAAAAAGTCAATAACAATCCCATCAAGTTCCTACCATGCACGAGGAGCTGTAGAGGAAGTGGTGAAGCAAAAGAGCCATTTCCTGTCCCCACGAACTTTCAACTTCATTCTGGAGGGAAGAGCTAAACACAAGAAAACTTAGTTCATTGAGATGATAAACAACATGTGATAGTGACAGGAAAAGAATGCCATGACACAGCATAGGATTAGTAGCCAGATGCATTTCTTAGGTAGTAATTGCTCCAAGGGTTCAGAGGCGGGACATAGTGGTTTAGGCTGCCATGGCCCAGGACGGCCTTGTAAGGAGTTAGCATTGGAGCTGGGTTTTGAAAGATCAGCCGTCCTACCAGACAGCAACAGTTTGTCCCCTCACTGATGCTAAATTAACTTGTGAATAGAATTAATGTGCAGGCTAGTAAATGGAACATCAGTCCAGCCATTTCTTAGTCAGTTAACAATAAAACCAAGACAGATAACCAGAGTATCCTTCCCCTCAAACCTCTGCCTTAATCTCTATTCTGCCTTCTCTTTGCTCAGTGCCTCTGTTACATCTCTCTGTTGAGTCTAAGGATCATGTTCTTAAAAGTTATGCTAAATGTTTCCTTTCTGTCTCATACTTGTGTAATCATTATTGGAATTATTTCTTACAGCTAAAGTGAAATGAAATGGCTTCAAAGAACCATCCCTTTAACACACAGCGGCGTGGGGGACTATATTGAGGCAATGGCATTGTTACATACTCACAAAAATTGTTCTTTCACTGTGCATTAAGGCCCCATTATTGGGACAGTTCTGATTGTTTGGGTGGCATTTCATATTTAACGATGGCTACGTGACTGGTCACCTATTTCGTATGCATCCGGGTTATAAGCCTGGGAGTCTAATGCTATGTCTTCCGGAGTCAGGCTTTGCTGCTGCTGGTCTTCATTTCTGCAGCCTCTGTGTTTAGGTTGAGTGAGCGCCGCCGCAAACGTCTCCAGGAGCTAGAGGGTCAAATAGCTGATCTGAAGAAGAAACTGAATGAGCAGTCCAAACTTCTGAAGCTGAAAGAATCCACAGAACATACTGTCTCCAAACTGAACCAGGAGATACGGGTATTAACCTTTCATCCATGCATTTACCCTGCTGAAACTTACACGCATAGGTGTTCCATTTGGAATTGTACTATAGAGGTGTTTTCAGGTGAGAAAGCAGCAGACAGGGTCACCATTTCCAGTGTGTGAATCTCCACAAATGTCCCTTTTGCAGGACGTTGTTCTAGCAGCTATCTAGAGTGTGAATAACAAAACCCTTCTTTGACATTCAGAGTGTCATGTTAGATTCTCTGAAACCAAAGGGCAAAGATACCTTAATATTTAGTGGTGATATCCTGACCACCTTCCATGGTCGTGTGAAATAATTTCATAAAGTTGTTGCAAAATGACAGACACCTAGAGAAAATTTTCAGTTATTGAACGTTCAGTGTGTCTGCAAAGGGCTGGTTATAGGCCACTTGTACTGAAACCTTTGGATACAAAGGCAGCTAGGTGGGTTTGTCCTGAGGCTTGGTAGATATTTCCTTGAAATTTCGTTTATATACCACGAATTTAGGGTTTATAGGGTTTATGGATTTAGCTTGTGGGCACATTTTTGTTTTTATTTCTTCAGAGTGTTTATTTGTGCAATCTGCGCCTGGAAACCCTGTGCAGGCACAGCAAGGGTTTCCAGGTACAGACGCAGGCAAGCCCGATCTGAAAATCTGCTGGCGGCCTTCTCAGCTTACTTTGCGCTCTTAATGGTCAGGCTCTCCATCTGCACATCAACCTAGAAAAAAAGGCACGTAACTAATACTTGTACTGGTTTTTGTTTTTGTTTTTCCAGGTGATGAAAAACCAGCGGGTACAGTTAATGCGTCAGATGAAAGAGGATGCTGAGAAGTTTAGACAGTGGAAGCAACAAAAAGACAAAGAAGTAATCCAATTAAAAGAACGAGTAAGTAATGACCCTCCTCAAAAGTAATAAACCCTTCTCTGGGCTAATGAACTTTAAATCATTTTTTTTTCTTTTTAATACTTTTCTTTTTTTAAGGTTTTTATTTATTTATTTTTAGAGAGAGAGGAAGGGAGGGAGAAAGAGAGGAAGAGAAACATCAGTGTGTGGTTGCCTCTCACATGGCCCCGAGTGGAGACCTGGCCCGCAACCCAGGCACGTGCCCTGATTAGGAATCGAACTGGTGACCCTTTGGTTTGCAGCCCATGCTCAATCCACTGAGCTATACCACCAGCCAGGGCTAAATCATGTCTTTTTAAAATAAGTTCTATCTCTAAACATGTGACACATTCATGAATTTAATAGCTACTTATTAAATGTCTACTATGTGCAAGGTACTACCCAGTAGATACCACAGAAAATAGAAAGATGAGTAGCATGTGAACTCTGCCACTGAAGAATGCCTTATTTAAGGGGAAGATGAGACATAAGCATGCTTTTCTCCAATATAAGGAATAAAGACATCTCTGCTTTACAAATGATCTGAAACACCACAGTAATTCAGAAAGGGAAGCGCACTTCCAGTTGGAGTGAAAAAGATGAAAGGTGAGCAGGCCTTGGATCACAGGGCGGGTTTTCATAGAGACAAGTACAGGCATTGCGGGGGGGGGGGCCGCAGGAGATGACGACTTTGTAGGCGTGTTCAGGGGATGGCCAATGGCCCGGGGGGGGCGGGTGGAGGATGCTAGTAGAAGATTCCACTGGAAAGACAAGTCGAAGCTGGACTGTTAAAGATCCAAGAAGCGGGAACTTGATTTTGTTAGCCAAGTAAAGATTTTTAAGGTTTTTGAGAAACAGCGTGATCAGCTAAGTAGTGCTTTAGAAAGATAGGTCTGGGAGTAATATGCAGAACAAGCTGAAGTATTAAGAAACCGGAGGCCAAAACATAAGGTAAGAAGACATTGTATGTTCCAGAAAGAGAGTACGGGCCTAAATTAGAGTCGTAAGTGTTCTTGGAAAGGGTATCAATTTGGAGACGCTTTTAGAATTGGCCAGAATGTGATATGTCAAGAAATAAGGAGAGATATACTTCAGAATGGCAGCACGCAGGAGCTTCATGAACTCTACTCAGTAAGAGAAGTACAACTGCTAAAATTTATGAAAACAACCACTAAAAATCTCTGGAAACTGTCCTAAGGACATACAGCAAGTAAACAATTATCCAAGACTACTGCTTAATCTCAGTAACAACAGCAAGGGTCTGTGGCATTTGAACCACCACCAACTCCCCCTTCCCCCTAATGACCCCGTACCTCTAGTCTCTGGCTGTGGTTTCTCCTGTTTCATCCCCCTTGGCTCCATGCTACTGAAGCTCTGTTTCAGGCGAGGGCAGCCAGGAGGTCTGGGTGTCCCTTCTTCCACGCAGCCCCCATGCAGAGGGTGAAAGCTCGACCCCTGCTGTGCAAGGCTGGGAGTACAAGGGCCTGATTACCCCAGCCCATCTAACCATAGGGTGTAGGTTCCATGTCCGGAGAGGCAAGCCAGAAAAAAAAATAGGGTCTACTGTCCCAGCACAGCACCCTACTTAGAACAGAAATGTCACTCAGAGAAGAAGGCTGCTGTGCCTGCCCCCAGGCCCTGAGCTGGGGTGCAGAGGTTCTGCCCATGGGCGAGCAGCAGGCCACAGGCTCAGCCATAGGGTACCACCTTCTGCAAGGAGACCGATTTCATCTGGGGAAAGAGTTTGGAGGAATTAAAACCTAAAGGTGCTGTCAACCAAGAATCTTACAGACAGCAGTTTTCTTTCAAAATTGAAGGCAAAATTAAGACATTCCCAGCTAAACCAAAGCCAAGATCTACCTTACAAGAAATACTAAAAGAACTTCAGACTGAAAGCAAGTGATACGAACAGTAATTTGACTCTGCACGCACACACAGACAAAAACAAAGAGGGGCAATAAAGGTGTCATTCTAAAAGACTGTAATTGTATATTACTTTTCCTCTCATACCTAATTTGAAAAGCAACTGTATAAAGTGATATGTATGCAATTGTATTGATGGGCCTATAATATATAGAAATGGAAAATATTTGACAATACCAGGTAAAGGAGGTGGCTGGGAGCAAAGTCGTATTTGAGCAAGGATATGACATCAGATGGTAAGAATCTACAGGAAGAAATAAGGAGAAATGGGAAGGGTCAATACGAACAAATTCTATAAATATATATTTGCTTTCCTCTTAGCTCAGCTTGTTTAAAGGACATAAATTATATAAAGTGATAATTATTATAATATATTTTGGGGGTATAGATATAATATGCATAACAATAACAGCACAAAAAAGGGAAGAGAAAACAGAGCTCTACAGGAATAACACTTCTAGATCTCACTGGAATTAAGTTAATATAAATCTGAAGTACATTCTGGTATGACGTTTATTATAAGCACTAGAGCAATTACCAAGAATGTAACTCAAAAACATAGTGAAATAATGATTCAAGTAATTAATATGCTGTAGTCATATTCACTTAATATGAAAGAAAGCAGTAAAGGAAGAATGAAGGAACACAAAAGATAAAACAAAAAGTAAACTTGAAAACATAAATCCAGACATATCAAGAACAACATAATTGGAATGGATAAAACAGTCTCATAAAAGGCAGAGATTGTCAGACTGAATTTAAAAAACCCAAGGTCTATAACGAAATATGCTGTCTACAGAAGACATGTAATGGACTCAAAGATACAAATAAGTTGAAAGTAAAAGGATGGAAAATGATCCGTCATTCACACATCAACCATAACAATGCTGAAGTGGCTTTACAGGCAGAATACACTGTGGAACACAAAATGTTGCTGGAAATGAAAGGGAACATTTTATAGTGATAAAAGAGTCAATCCCTCAGGAAGATATAACAATTATAAAAAAATGCACCTAACAGAGCCCCAAAATACACAAAGCAAACACTGACCAAAATGAAGGGTGAAATAGACAAATGAAAAATAATATTTGGCTATTTCAATACCGCGCTTTCTTTTTTTTTTTTAATTTTTTTATTGTTCAATTACAGTTGTCCCCCTTTTCCCCCATTGCTGTCCTCACTCCTACATTCAATCCTCCCCAGTGTCCTTGTCCACGGGTCCTTTATACGTGTTTCAATAATAGAGAGAGCAACTATACACAAGATCAGCAAGGATATAAAAGACTTCAAAAATATTGTAAACGAACTAGGCCTAACAGACATCTGTACTCCAATTGACAACAGCGGGCTATATATTCTTCTCAAGTGCACGTGGAACATTCTCCAGGATAGACCATACATATGTTAGGCCATAAAACATGCATAAATAAATTTAAAAGAACTGAAATAATACAAAGTATGTTTTCCAACATATTTAGGAAATTTACAAATCTGAGGAAATTAAACAAAGACACAACATAATGGAACTTATGTTATGTTATGGGATGCAGCCAGAAGATGCTTAGAGGGAAATTTATGGTTGTAAGTGCCCATATTAAAAATAAAGGAAGAGCCCAGGCTGGTATAACTCAGTGGATTAAGTGCAGGCCTGTGAATCAAAGGGTCACTGGTTCGATTCCCAGTCAGGGCACATGGCTGGGTTGCAGGCCAGGTCACCCAGTAGGGGGGTGCAGCAGGGGCAACCACACATCGATGTTTCTCTCCTTCTCTTTCTCCTTCCTTTCCCCTCTCTCTAAAAAGAAATAAATAAAATCTTTAAAAAATGAAGAAAGACCTCAAACCAATAAACTAGCCTTCTACTTTAAGACACTGAAAAAAGGAACAGAAAACTAAACCAAAGCTAGCAGTTAGAAAGAAATACTGTATTAAAGGTTAGAATAGAAATTAATGAAATAGAGGGTAGAAAAACAATGGAGAAAATCGATAACACCCAAAGTTGGTCCTTTGAAGTGATCAACAAATACAAACTTTTAGGTATGCTTCATAAGAAAAAGAGAGAGAAGATTCAAATTACTAAATTTAGGAGTGAAAGAGGGGCCACTGCTACTAACGTTTCAGAAGGAAAAGATTGGAAGGGAATATTATGAAAACCATATGCCACCAAATTAGAAAGCCTCGATGAAATGGAAAAATCCTTGGAAAGATGGAAACTACCAAAACTGAAGACGAAATAGAAAATCTTTACAGACCTGTAACAAGAGATTAAGTTAGTAGTTTAAAACTTCCCAGAAAGCAAAGCCCAGGCACAGACGGCTTCACTAGTAAGTTCTATCCGACATTTAAAGAAGAAATAATACCTTTTGCGACAGCATGGGTGGACCTGGAGGTTATTACACTAAGTGAAAAAGCCAGTCAGAGGAAGACAAATACCATGTGGTCTCGCTTATATGTGGAACCTAATGAACAAAATAAGCAAACAAAATAGAAATAGAGGCATGGACACATGGAACAGACAGACAGCTAGCTATCAGAGGGGAGGGGGGCGGGATGAAAGCAGGGGAAGGGATCAGCCAAAGGACATACATGCATGCCCACAGGCACAGACAGCGCTGTGGGGATGGCCAGAGGGAAGGGGGGACAGCAGGGGCTGGGTGGAGGCCAACAAAGGGAGGGAAAATGGGGACATCTGTAATAGTGTCAGCAATAAAAATAAAGAGAAAAAAGAAACAATAGTAAAAACAAACAAACAGGAAATTACCCTTATAATAAAAATATCTAAGGTGAATGTAGATCATTACTTAGAAAAATGTAAGAAAAGAAATGATACCAGATTTTCAGAAATTATTCCAAAAATCAGGGAGAACACTTCCCGACTCATTATATGAGGCCAGTGTCTCCCTGATAACAAAACCATGCGAAGACATCCCAGGAAGAGAAAACCACAGGCCAACATCGCATGAATATAGATGTGAAACTCTTCAACATAAAACGAACAAACTGAATCCAGCACCATATAAAAAGAATGACACACCACGACCAAGTAAGGTTTTAAAAGAAATGCAAGCCTTCTTTAACATCTGCAATCAATTAAGGTAATACACCGTATCAGTAGAATAAAGGACAAGAACCACACGACCATCTCAATAGACACAGAAAAAGCATTTCACCAAATCCAACATTCTTTCATGATTTAAAAAAAAAAAAAACACTCGAGAAACAAGGGGGAGAAAGAAACTTCCTCAACCTTATAAAAAGGCATTAATGAAAACCCTGCAACTGGCATCATCCTCACTGGTGAAAGAACAACTTTTACCCTAAGATCAGGAACAAGACAAGGATATCTGCTCTTGCCATTCTGTTCAGTATTGCTCCAGAAGTTCCAGCCAGGGCACCTAGACAAAGAAAAACATATAAAAAGCATCCAGATTGGAAAGAAAGAAACAAAACTATCTCTGTTAGCAGATGACATGATCTGCTTAGATTTTCTTGTATATAGAAAATCTAAACAACTATTAGAATACGCGAGTTCAGCAAAGTTGCAGGATTTAAGTTCACCATATGAAAATCAGTTGTTTTCTATACATCATCAACAGTTTAAAAATGAAATTAAGAAAACAATTCCATTTATAATAGCATCAGTAAGAATAAAATACTTGGGAATCAACTGAACAAAATATTCGTAAGGCTTAGACACTAAAAACTACAAAACATCATTAAATTAATTACAGATCTAAATAAACAGAAAGATAACTCATGTTCATGGATGGGAAAGCTTCATATTCTTAAGATGGAATTCTCCCCAGATTGATGTACAGCTTCAAACCCAATCAAAATTACACCTGGCTTATTTGCAGAAGTTCACATGTGGATTCTGAAATTCATATGGAAATGCAAGTGACCCAGAATAGTCCTAACATTCATGAAAGAAGAAGAAATTTGAGATATCACATCTATCACCTTTTTTTTAGTGTGTTGAGAATACTTGAGATGTACTCTTGCAGCAAATGTTAGGTATACAATACAGTATTATTAACTATAGTCATTCTGCTATACCTAGATCCCCAGAACTTAGCCATCTTATAACTGAAAGTTTGTACCCTTTGACTAACCTTTTCCCCATCCCAGTTTCTGGTAACTAATGTTCTGCTCTCTGGTTCTATGAGTTTAACTTTTAGATTCCACATATAAGACATACAGTATTTGTCTGTCATCCATGTTGTCACAAATGGCAGGGTTTCCTTCTTGTTTGTGGCTAAATAATATTCCATTGTGTGTATATATCAAATTTTCATTATCCATTCATCTGTTCATATCTTGGTTATTGTGTATAATGCTGCAATGAATATGAGAATGCAGATATCTCTTAAAGATACTGATTTCATTTCCTTTGGATATATACACCCAATAGTGGGATTGCTAGATTTTATAGTAGTTCTATTTTTAATTTTTTTGAGAAATCTCTTCTTTTCCATAATGACTATACCATTGAAAAACTCTTTAGTTACATTATAAAGTTTAGTTTTAGTGAGCTGAATAGCAATTAAAAGTCTGGCTTATTTTTTCCTCAGGACCGAAAGAGGCAATATGAGCTGCTGAAACTTGAAAGAAACTTCGAGAAACAGTCTAATGTGCTTAGACGTAAAACAGAGGAGGTAAGAAAATCCAGGCTGCTGAGTCAGGCAGATTGCGTAGATGCTGGCAAAGCAGTATCCCTTAAATGAGCCAGTGTCCTGAGAAACCAGGGATGCCAACCTTGCCCAGCAGTTCCTAAGTCTTGACCCCTGTTTATATGTCAGGAAATGTGAGCAGATAACCTGGTGAAAGTGGTACTATTCATGTAAGGATTTTTTTCTAATCGGACTTGCTTCTTTCCAAAACATCACAAAATAATATTGGTATGTGACATTTCCAGATGCTTTCAAGTGTGCAGTACGTCCTTGAAATGTGCGTGGCCTACCCCCCTCCTGCCCCAGGCTCTCAAGCGAGAACTTTTGACCAGTACAGGCTTTGGAGCCTAGGAAAGGTGCACATTTGACATGGAGACTTAGAAACTTGGTTCCCATGCAAACTCAAGCCATAGACTTGTTTTCTTTTTCTTTACTAATATGCTGGAAATGAGAATGTTCTTTTTGTCCTGCAATTCAACATTCCTGTGAGCTGTTTTTATTTAGGCAGCAGCTGCCAACAAGAGGCTCAAGGATGCTCTCCAGAGACAACGGGAAGTTGCAGATAAGCGGAAGGAGACTCAGAACCGTGGGATGGAAGGCACCGCCACGCGAGTGAAGGTGTGGACAGTTCGCACGGCCATTTCTCTTTTGTGTACTGGGGACAGGAGAACAGGGGAAATCGCTTTCTTTTCATTTAGAAGGAAGCCTTGCAATCTGAAGGCCGACCTGAAAGCCTTATTTCCTAAAGCAGTGAATACATGAGTGGTTGTCAAAGACAAAGAGTAGACAACCCTTTCTGTCCCTGCCCCTCTTGAGGTTCAGTCAATTTCTTGGCAGTGTTATTGAGGTATAACTGACCTACGGTAAAGTGTGCATATTTAAAATGTACAATTTAATAAGTTTTGACACAGATATGCCCCCATGAAATCACCATAATCAAGATGACATCAGTGTCCATCACAACCCAAACTCTGTACCCTTTATAATCCCTCCCTCTCCCCCGGTCCACTCTTCTACCCCCCACCTCAATGTAACCATTCATCTGCTTTCTGTCATTATGTATTCATTTTTAGAATTTTCTAGATTCTTCATTTTTAGAATTTTTAGAATTTCTAGACTCTTCATTTAGAATTTTCTAGAATTTCTAGATTCTTCGTTTTTAGAATTTTCTAGAATTTCTAGATTCTTCATTTTTAGAGTTTTCTAGAATTTCTAGATTATTTTTAGAGATTTCTAGAATTAATTTTCTAGAATTTTGTAAGTTTTAATCATAGAGTATTTTTTTTCTGGCTTCCACTCCACATAATTAGTTTGACATTGATCCGTGTGGTGGTATTTATGAATACTTCTTTCCTTTTTTTATTGCCAAGCGGCGTCCCATTCTATAGAGATACCACAGGGTTTTTTTAAATTCATTCACCTATCGACGAACTTTTGTTTCTAGTTTTTGACTACTACAAATATTGTACTGAACATTCATGGACAAGTCATTGTGTGCGTACATGTTTTCATTTTGGGGGATAGAAAACCTAGGAGTGGAATGGCTGATCTAATAAGTATGTATTTCAACTTTGTTTGTTGTTTATGAACAACAGAAATTTATTTCTCACAGTTCTGGGGGCTGAAAAGTCCTAGGTCAAGATGCTGGCAGATTTAATTCCTGGTGAAGGGCCATTTCCTGCTTTATAGATGGCGGTCTTCTCCCTGTGGCCTCACATGGTCGAGGAGGATGCGTATTTTTACTTCTAAGCAACTGCCAAATTGTTTTCCAAAGTGATTGCACCACTTTACATTCCCACTAACAACGGATGAGGGTTCCCCTTGCTGTATTTTCCCAACAATATGTAGTTTGAATATGGTCAGTCCTTTCAATTTTAGCTATTCTAGTAGATGGGGAGTAGTACTCCGTTGTGATTTCGTTTTCATTTCCCTAATGACTAACGACGTTGAGCACCACTTCATGTACTTACTTGGTATATATGTTATGGACTATCTGTTCAAATCTTTTTCCTGTTTTTAATCGGGTTGTATTTTTTTCTTATTGTTGAGTTACAATTCTTTATATGCTCTACATATATTCAGCAAACGGTTTTTTTTAAGATTTTTATTTATTTATATTTAAGATTGTATTTATTTTTAGAGAGAGGGAAAGGGACGGAGAAAGAGAGAGAGAAATATCAATGTGAGAGAGAAACATCGATCAGTTGCCTCTCTTACACGCCCCAGCAGGGGACTAAACCCACAACCCAGGCATGTGCCCTGACTGGGAATCAAACCAGTGACCTTTGGCTTTGTGGGACAACGCCCAACCAAGCCACACTGGTCAGGGTGCCTTTTAGATTTCTAACAGTATCTTTTGAAGAACAAAGCTTGAATTTTGATGCCATCCGATTTATTAGAATTTTTCTTTCATACTTGAAAGGCTTTCATGTTCTATTTTAAAAATCTTGTGGGGGGGAAATGCAGACAACCGTAAATGAACAACAATAAAGTAATTAAAAAAAAGGAATCTTGAAGGTCACAAGGTGTTCTCCTAAGCTTTCTTCTAGAAGTTACATAATGTTAAGCTTTATCTTTAGGTCTGTGATTCATTTTGACTTGACACCTTTGTCAAAGTCAATTGTTCATAAGTGAATTTCTAGATTCTGTTCCACTGATTTAACATGTCTATCCTTGATTACGCCAGCTTTGTAATAAGTCCTGAAATCAGGCAGTATTATTTTTCTAAACTTGTTATTCTTTTTCAAAATTGCTTTGGGGTGACTAGGTCCTTTTCATTTCCATATAAAGTTTAGAAACAGCTTATCAATTTGTACAAAAAGTCTGCTGAGCGTTTGAGTAGGACTGCTTAGAATTAACAGATATATTTGAGGAGAACTTACATTTTAACAGCATTGAGTCTTGTTCCATGAAAACACTACACCTCTTCATCTAGCTAAGTCTTCTATTTTTCTCGGCAGCGTTTACATTTTCAGGGTACGGGTGTTACACATTTGTCAAATAATATGATATATTCTTATGAGATTAGAAATGATTTTTTAATTTCTATTTCCAATTGTTTGGATGCACTTGCTGGTTCTTATAGCTTTTTTGTGGTCCTTAGGATTTTCCACATAGGCAATCATGGCAACTGCCAATAGGGACAGTTTTATTTATTTCTATTCTGTATGCCTTTTTGTTTTGTATTTTTAGAAGATTTTAATTTACTTATTTTTAGGGAGAGGGACAAACAAAGGGAGAGAAGCGTCAATGTGTGGTTGCCTCTTGCACACCCCCTACTGGGGACCTGGCCTGCGAGCCAGGCATGTGCTCTGATTGGGAATCGAACCAGCGACCCTTTGGTTTGTAGGCCAGCACTCAATCCACTGAGCTACACCACCCAGGGCTCAGAACATGCCTGGGTTACAGACCAGGTCCCCAGTATGAGGCATGTGAGAGGCCACCAAACATTTATGTTTCTCTCCCTCTCTTTCTCCTCCCTCCCCCTCTCTCTAAAAATAAATAAATAAAATCTTTGTAAAAATTTATTGGCATGAAGTTATTCATAATATTCCCTTATCATCCTTCTAACAACTGTAAAAGCTATATTTATGTCATCTCTCTCATCCATGTTATTGGTATTTTGTATCTTTTCTCTTTTTTCCTAATCAGTTTGGCTAGAAGTTTGTCAGAGAACCAGCTCATTCTTACAAATGTTTAAGGTGCTAAGTTTTATGTTACATATATTTTACCACAATAAAAAATACCCAAAAAAACTTCAGCTCATTGATTTCTGATCTTTATTATTTCTTTATTTCTGCTTTGGATTTCATTGGCTCCTACTTTTTTTCGTTTCTGTTTTCAATTTTAATTTTTATCTTTTTCATTTACACTTGACATTCAATATTACATTAGTTTCAGGTACGCAGCATAGTGGTTAGATGCTTATATGACTCTCGAAGTGATCCCCCGATAAGTCTAGTACCCCCCTGGCACCACATGTAGTTATTGCAATATTGACTATGTTCCCTGCACTGTACTTGACATCTCTGTGACTATTCCGTAACTACCAATTGGTGCAGTACTTCTTAATCTCTTTACCTTTTTCACCCAAACCCTCTTCCATCGGGCAACATGAGGGCATTGACTCGAGTGCTTTCTTCTTTTCTAATATAGGCACTTAGTGCTATAAATTTCCTCTTTAGTAGTCTTTTGATGACATCCCACAATTTTCAATAGTTGCGCTTTCCTATTCACTCAATTGAAAGTACATTCCACTTGCCCTGTTGATTTCTTCTTTGTCCCATGGGTTATTTAGAAGTATGTTATTTAGTTTCCAAATATTAGGGGATTTTCCCAAATATCTTCCTGTTATGGTTTCTAATCTAATTCCGTTGTGGTTAGAGAACATACTTTGTATGGTTTGAATCCTTTCGAATTTATTGAGACTTATTACGGCCTAGAATATGGTCAACCTTGGCAAATGTTGTGTGTACTTGAGAGGAATGTGTACTGTGCTGTCGTCGGATAGTATTCTATAAACGTCAGCCATGTCTATGTGATCAACTATGCTATTCATTTCTACTACATCCTTTTGTCTACTTATTCTATCAGTTAGAGGTGGGTATTCAAATCTCCATCTAGAATTATGAATTTGTCTTTTTCTCCTTGTAGTTCTGTCTGGTTTGCTTCATGTATTTTTAAGTATATTTTCTTGATTATGCTATTACAGTTGTCCCATTTTCCCTCCTTTATTACCCCCTCCTGCCAGCATTACCCCCCCCCCCATTAGTTCATGTCCATGGGTCATACATATAAATACTTTGGCTTCTCCATTTCCTATAGCACAGGTGGCAAACACAAGACCCGTGGGCCGAACCCGGCCCTCCACCTTGTTTTATCCGGCCCGGCACCTTGTTTCTACCCACCAGCAGCACCGAGCTCTCACTTAATAGTTAAGGAGTAGTTACATTTATACAGTCCTAAGTAAACAGTAGTTACATTTATACAGTTCATTCGAACCATTGAAGGCAACTGCAAGGCTGTTGTGGCCCCCGGTGAAAATGAGTTTGACACCCCCCTGTCCTATACTATTCAAAACCTGCCCTGCTCTATTTTGTGCCCACCAACTATGCTTCTCACTCTGTATACCTTTTCCCCCATTCTCCGCTCTCCAGGTCCCCGCTGATAACCATCCATGTGATCTCCATTTCTGTGATTCTGTTCCTGTTCTGGTTGTTTGCTTAGTTTGTTTTTTATTTTGTTTTTGTTTTAGGTTCAGTTGTTAATAGCTGTGAGTTTGTTGTCATTTTTACTGTTCGTGTTTTTGATCTTCTTTTTCTTAGATAAGTCCCTTTAACATTTCATATAGTAAGGGTTTGGTGATGATGAACTCCTTTAACTTGACTTTACCTGGGAAGCGCTTTATCTGCCCTTCCATTCTAAATGATAGCTTTGCTGGACAGAGCAATCTTGGATGTAGGTCCTTGCTCTAACAGTATGTTTTGTGTAGGCAGCATGTAGTTGGGTCTAGCTTGGTTAATCCAATGTTACAATCGGTAGGTTTGGGTCTATCATCTTGCTATTTGTTTTTTATTTTCCCCATCTGTTCTACATTCCCTTTTTCCTTGTTTTCTGGCTTCTTTTGGATCAATTGAGTATTTTTATGATTCCATATTATCTCCTTTGTTGGCTTATGTATGATTTTGTTTCACATATTTTGGTGCTTCATTAGGGGCATAAACAAGGATTCAGTTCTCTTAAATAATTGACTCCTCTGCCATTAGGAAATTACTTTTTTTAATCCTTGGTAATATTCTTTGGTGTAAATTCTACATTACTTGATATTACCATATTCACTCCCGGTTTCTTTTTTGATTACTCTTATCATGATATATCTTCTAATGTGAAAGTGTTCTCAGGGATGATTACTTTTTAAAAAGCTGAATTTAGTTAATTTTGTTAGCTTCAAAATGTTTCATCTATCCAGTTTAAAGATTAAGAATGGGTATTGCCCTGGCCAGTGTGGCTGAGATGGTATGGAAGCTTCATTCCATAACCAAAAGGTTGTGGGTTCGATTCCTGGTCATGGCACATACCTAGGTTGCAGGTCTGGTCCCCAATCCAGGCATGTATAGGAGGCAGTTAATCGATGTTTCTCTCTCTCTCTTACTGTGATCCTTTCTCTTCTCCCTTCCTCTCTAAGAGCAATGAGAAAAAAATGTCCTCAGGTGAGGATTAAAAAATAAGAATGGATATCTATTTATTAAGTAGACAATCAAAATATACTTTAATTCTGTATCATGACTAGATAAGGACAAACCTTAAGGAGAAAATGGAGGTGATAAAGACAGGCTACAGAGAAATGTAGGGTATCCGAAGAAAGATTTTCCTGCAGAAAGTCTCTTTCTTGTGACCTTCTGGGATCTTGCTGTTAAAAGCTCTCAGAGAGCTATTGGGATTTTTGATGAGTGTAGGCACAAATGGAAACCTCACTTCTAGTTATGTGAGCTCTGCTCTGAGGGAAATGAAGTCTGGATCTGAACCCAGCCCATGGGCCAGAGATTCCTCATCCCTAACCCAACGTCATTGATTTCTCTTCTAGAGCTGGCTTGGAAATGAAATCGAGGTTATGGTCAGTACTGAGGAAGCCAAACGCCATCTGAATGACCTTCTTGAAGACAGAAAGATCCTGGCTAAGGATCTGGCTGAACTCAAAGAAAAACAGGAATCTGGGGAGAATCTACCTCCTAAACTCCGGGTAAGTGTCCTTATAGAAACATTTAACCAATGATCAGACCCTGCACTCCCCACACACCCTGACTACCTCGGAGGGTTATGTCCCTGTTTAGTACTTCAACCCCATTCCCACGATTCTTCTTTACAGAGGCGCACATTCTCACTTGCTCAACTGCCTGGTCAAGTTTCTGACTCAGAGGATTCCATTACAAAGCAGATTGAAAGCCTAGAGACTGAAATGGAACTCAGGTAATGGGACTGCCCTAAAGGCTTTATAAAAAGGTATGCTTGGCCCTGGCCGGGGGGCTCAGCTGGTTGGAGCGTCATCCTGTACACCAAACGGTTGCAGGTTCGATCCCTGGTCAGGGCACATACAGGAGGCAAGCAATCAATGTTTCTGTCTCACATCAGTGTTTCTCTCTCTCTCTCTAAAGTCAACAAATATATCATTGTCTCTCTCTAAAATCAATAAATATATCATGGGGTGAGGATTTTCCAAAGAAAAAAATTATGCCTGGAATCAAAATAGAGCCTATCAGTCCAGTGATTCAGAGGCTTTGTGATGGTGGAGAAACAAGAGAAGGTAGCAAATGTCTTTTTTTTTAAGTAGACACACCACTAGACATGTTAGATGCATTTTCTCATTCAGTCCCTCCCTATGACGTATACTTTATGAGACATGTATTATTCTTCTCACTTTAGAGATCTGAAGTTCACAGACCTGAAGATACTTGCTAAAGGTGATACAGTGCTAGGATTCGGAACCTGGTCTAACTGCAAAGCCCATGCTCTTCATGCTGCACCACAAATTTTGATGCAGAACTGACTCAACACAAAACTTTAGGGAGCCCCCAAAAATGATAGCAGAAGAGCAACAACATAGAAGTAGGAGACCTTTAGAGATCAACAGCAAAGGAGATAGAACAGAACATATAGGTAAAGCACATAACACAGTACTTGGCATATTAGAAGTGCTCATTGAATGTTCTTCTCTTTCTCCCTGCCTGGCTCTAAGACCAGAAATTATGCTACACAACCTGTCTAATCACTGCTGTCTTTGAAGTATCTATGAACTGGAGAAGAATCAGAACTTAGATATTGTATAGTTTCTTAGGATCATTGAATTGCATTGCCCAGAAGAGCCTGGAGATCTTTCCTTTGTTTTTAGCAACACACACTAGCTTTTTATCTTTGCACACATCTGTAAAGTCAGCATTTAAGTTCCTACTCCGTGCTGCAACGGGTGCAGTTGGGACATATAGAAAAAATAGGTGGCGTCATCCTTGCTGTCCAGTGGAAATAGTAAACCACTGATAGCTTACAGTTAGCCATGGTGAGAGAATTTACACCACAGAAACCAGCAAAATCTATAAATCAGGTCTAAGGTTTTGGATTTGTTTGTTTTTTTAATTGCTGGTTGTTAAAGATATACCTGCATACCACTGCACATGAGTAAATGATTACCTAAATGTAGGGCAGGTGCCAAATAGAGGGCAATCAGACAGAGGTGAGTTTAATCAAGAGAATTTTCCAAAAGTTGATGAGCCATAAACTAAAATTTGAAATCAGTGAGGGACGTGAATTGTCAGAAATGACAGGAAAGGGCATAAGTGTAGGAAACAATTCTGAACTGTTCTGGCCCACCTCTTCCAGGAAGCCTTCCCTGACCCTTCATCCCTCACTAATCTCCCTCTTCTCTAAACTCCTGCAGAACTTACAGTACTCAGTCATGCAATACAGGCGATATATGTTATCTTGACATTGAGTAACTGTTTTACGTTTATTAGTCTCGTCAATCTAGAAAGATTGTAAGCTTGTTGAAGAAGACTCCGTATTAGACCAGGGTTCTCCAAGTGTGATTCCCAAACCCCTGGGGGTCTCTGAGACCCTTTCAGGGACTATGAGTGATCAAAACTATTTTTATCCCTGGCTGGTGTGGCTCGGTAGATTGAGTACCAACCTGCAAACTGAAAGGTCACCAGTTCGACTCCCAGTTTGGGCACATGCCTGGCTTGTAGGCCAGGTCCCCAGTTGGGGCCATATGCAACAGGCAACTGATTGATATTCCTCTCCCTCTCTGTCTCCCTCCCTTCCCTTCTCTCTCTAAAAATAAATAAATAAAGTCTTTACAAAAAGAAGACTCAAATAAATGGAAAGACACATTTTTTAAAAAAGAAACTTGTCAGTCTTGTGGCAGGCACTTCAAGGTAACCTCTCACAACACTAGCCATAGGTATCAATTTGGTCTTCAATTCCAGCAAAGAGCACCCACCTATTTGTTATATTGAGAATTTTTTTTCCTTCCACTCTCCAACCTGAATCTTGTCCCTGCGTAGGTGAGCCAGCACCGTATCACTATCTGAGCTCATGTGACCTCCAGATGAGGTCACATTAGTCAGTGCACCACTCAAAACCCTCACTAAAACAAATCTTGCCAGGTCCCACTATATGACCCATTTATTTCAACCAGTATGTAATTTAGTGAAGCCATTTGAATGCTCTTTGGAGTCGACTTTGCACCAGGCTTTGAGAGAATGCACATCCCCACAGCTGCTGAGCACACGTACTAACCAGATGATGTAATCATTGTTTAAAGGATATTTAACTGCTACTTCCTTCCATAAAACTCTTTGCAGTTTCTCCTCAGATCTCTTCCCCTGTCCTTGGTGTTGAAGCCAGTAACAATAAGGCTCACTGTTTCTTTCCCTGAAGGAACGCTCAGATTGCCGACCTCCAGCAGAAACTGCTGGACGCAGAAAGTGAAGACAGGCCAAAGCACCGCTGGGAGAATATTGCTACCATCCTGGAAGCCAAGTGTGCCCTGAAATATTTAATTGGAGAGGTAAACATCACTCTTCCTGCCAGGGATGAGGGGTCTGGCTTGGTAGGTTGCAACACAGTGCTAGCCTGAAATACTGTCACTGTGTGCTATTGTCACTTTTCATGGTAGAAACCGCAATGACACTCACCTCAGAGACATGATTTTATAGGTAAGAGCTGGTGTGAGCACGGGCTCGCTAATAAACATTTGCAGCTATTCTTAGGAAAAGATCAGGATGCCATCCTTAGGCCACTACTTAAACATCAGCTATCAATCACACTGCGCTACTTTCTAAGACACCTGCGAGGTGTCTATTCAAAAAGTTTCAGATGCAGTTTAGCAAAGAGAAAGTCATCTTGGACATACAGCGATTCCTCTGAAGGAAAATCCATCTTCACTGACCTTCAAATAATCTATCATCTCACATTGTCACAAGAGGAATCAAAGATGATCACCGCTGCTGATTGAGGCAGTTTCCTCTGCAGACGAGCACGCAGCCCCCTCCAACTCTGCGAGTTTGCGCAATGCCCCCCTTGCTGCATTTTGTGTCGGGTTAGCAGATTTGCCCTACCAAAGAAATCCTGATTAGTCTCGTGAACACCAGGGTTTGTGACGTTCACCATCCGGGCTAGTAGAGAATGTCTAAGTAGGCCAACATAGGATATCAATCTAGCCTGAAGAGCCGGATCTACGGTCTCAGCTAACGTGTCTACGAGTTTCAACATGTGAACGCAGACATCCTGACATGGGACATAATTGGCCATAAGGGTGTGTCTTATGAATGTCTCTTTAAAATTAAGGAAGAACTGCTTAAATGTCCGAATTGGGAGTTGTCACCCACTGTTCACGTAGGGTTTATTCTTGCCACGAGGCAGAGCAAGAGATTGAACGACCTTTGTGATGGTCGTTGGATAGCTCCAACTTATCTCAGCAGAAATACCAGCTTTTGGCCTGGGTGGTGGTGTTACTATTCAATGGTAGACTCCATGCGACGCGCAAGCACAAGAATGGACTTGGACGTGGAGTAACTGGTCTTGGTCCGTTTGAAGAAAACGGACGTTTGCCTGCCTGAGGGGTGGGGCAAGGTCATTCTCCAAACACAGTGGTCTTCTTTTATCTCTTCCAGCTGGTCTCCTCCAAAATACAGGTCAGCAAGCTCGAAAGCATCCTCAAACAGAGCAACGCCAGCTGTGCCGACATGCAGAAGATGCTGTTTGAGGAGCGAAATCACTTTGCCGAAATCGAGACAGAGTTGCAGGCAGAGCTGTTCAGAGTGGAGCAGCAGCACCAAGAGAAGGTAAGCTGGCGAGCCAAGAGCTCTACTGAGGAAGAGACCACCATTGCTTCCTGCTGTTAGTTTAAAAAAATAATAGCAGGGGAGCAGGGTGTGACATTTCCTTCAAAAGACCACGCAGTCTTTTCCCAATTTGGCAAAGGGGAAACCTGAAACAGAAAGAAATGATTTGTCTCACGTTACACAGGCCAGTGACAAGCGCTCTTAGCCTCCATCTTGGTATTGAGGTTAACGTGCGTGGCGACCGCTGCGGTCATGCTTGCTCCTGTCTGCTTCAGGCCATGAGAGCAAAAGAGAACAGTTCACACTGCTCCATCGCAAAGGACTCATCGGGCGCACTGCCTGGACTGGGCCGCATTTCCTGTTTTCTCTGACTCCTGTGGTTCCCTTGGGTTGTATCTCTCTGTAGGTGCTGTACCTTCTCAGCCAGCTGCAGCAAAGCCAGATGGCAGAGAAGCAGCTGGAGGTGTCTGTCGGTGAAAAGGAACAACAGCTGCAGAGCACGCTGAAGTGTCAGGTACAGTGAGGCCAAGGTCCCCAGGGCTGGGTTCCACGGGCCTGGCTGAGAATTGTCTGTGTCGGACCGTCGTACTTACAGCAGAGAGTAACTATGTACAGAAAAGGGTTGGTAATGGCAACCCCTACTGCTTCGTGGCCCTAGTCGATCAGTGGAAGGGAATTTAGAATGTAGCCACACATAGAAGAACCTCCTTGTTGGCCCAGAAATGACAGTACATACTCCATCCCAGACTCTGAGGCCTCCTGGTTCTTTGCCTCAACTCTGAGCTCTCAACAGTTGAGAAACTTAAATCATCCTGTAGAATCCTAGGGGCATTCAGCTGTGTCTTCCTGAGCCTGTTCTTCTAAGCTGAGACCTGACATGTCGCTGAAATGCCTGGAGTCTAAATTTCTACCCGAGCCTGAGAGTGCCACACCCTTTAGCAGCATGCCGGGGCACTGTTTAATCCCGCTTCGGATCTTTTTCCTGACCCACCTGTCTCTGGTTTCCTTGGTACCTCCCATCGAACATGTAACCAAACTAGTTAAAGCCGTATGCATGAATCTGGTTGCCTTCAATGCCAGGGACTTGAATCGGGCTTGTTATTAGAGTAGCAGATACACTGCCTAGCCTACGTGGGCAATGGTGAACAAACACATCTGGGGCTTGGGAGCACCAGAGCTGTCCGCGAGGGTTTCTTAATCAGCATCCTGATGTGAATGAGGGATGCGAGGCTGGAGAGTGGAAAAGACTAGGAAAGCGTGTGGGGCAGAGCCCCTGGTTTCCATGATGGCCGTCGAGGGCTGCTTGGGAGGGTTGGGATAGAAGTGGCGTTCAGGACACCTAGGAACGGGTAGGAATCGGGCGTTTTTCTGGGTGCCAAGGCCTGCGGTGCAAAAACCATCTGCTGCCAGCAACTTGGCAGCAGTGTGTTTTCATCTCTGTGAGTTGTTTGGTAACCCACATGCAGTGCCCAAAATAATCCCACCGATCTCTGCACTCCTGGAAATAGGAAGAAGAACTGGAGAAGATGCGAGAAGTGTGTGCACAAAATAAGCAGCTTCTCCGAGAGAATGAAATCATAAAGCAGGTAATCCAGCCTCCCACCCACGGAACAAGGCCTGGGAGACCCTGTTGCAACTGAGGCCAACCCTTGGGAGCAGCCCCCGAGTGTGATAATGTGGCTGTATTTTAGCAAGTTGACATTGAGTTTCCTTGTGATGTTGTCAGGTGCATTTCAAAATGGTATAAACGCAAATTTTTTTTTACAGTTTGCTCTTTTCGGAATCTATTCCCGATCTTGTAAAGTGGGAGTCCTTCAGCCTACTTTACTCTTACCCTGCCTCACTTTCATATGCTTGAAAATTAAGCTAGTTTAGGAATCTCGATGTTGGAGCCACGAACACCCTCGGAAGCTGCCCTGCAATATGTACCTTGTCTCTTCTTTTTGAATAGAAACTGACTCTCCTTCAAGTAGCCAGCAAACAGAAACCTCATCTTCCTAAGGATACCCCTCTCTCTCCAGACTCTTCTTTCGAATATATCCCACCTCAGGTAAACTGCTTAGTGCCCTCGCTGCCTTCGCATAGCCAAGGTTTGGAGTGAGTGTGCTTAAAACCGCCTTTTAGAAGAGGTTGGCAGGTAAAATTTCCAAATTCCAGCATCTCGCTTTTCCTTGGAGCCCCAGATAAAAGTCTAGTGCAATCTGGAGAAAAATAACCCTTCTCCCTCCCCGGGAGACTGACTCTTGGCCACATACAGACGTTATGTAACACAGCTGAGGGGGAGGAGCCAAAGAAAGCAGCATTCAGCTGTCCGTCCAAAGACACTTATCAGGTCATTAGTCTCTCCTTCCTCCCTCAGATTGCTCAGCCTCCCCGCCCCCCCCCTGCAGTTTCTGTCCCTTCAAAGACTCTGCAAGGCCAAAGGTGGAAGCAGAGTTTCTTCTGATTGGTAAAGTCAAGTGGGCTATATTTGAGGGAGTCTGAAGTCTCTGTTCTGAGAATATAGCTGGCCACCACTGCTGGGAAGTTACAATCCACATGCTTTTGGTGTTTTTGGTGTTGTGTGTTTTGCTTTGTTTTTGTTTTTTTTTTTTTTTTTAGTTTGGGGGGTTTTGTTTGGTCTTGCTGTTGTCTTTGTTCGATGACCATCCCAAACCTTTGTTCTCAGCCAAGACCTTCCCGTTTGAAAGAAAAGTTCCTGGAGCAAAGCATGGACCTCGAGGATCTACAATATTGTTCAGAGCATTCAGTAAATGGGCCTGAGGACACTGATATTGACGATGGGGATGACGAGGAATGGAAACCGACAAAATTCTTGAAGATGTGCAAGAAGAACATCCAAGGGGTAGGAGGCAGCTCTCACCTCTGACAGGGGTTCCAGTCCTTGTCTCCACTGCCGGTGGGAATGTACTCACCGCAAACCCTGCACCCGAGCCCCTCGGTCCCATTCAGAAGCATTGGATTCACGGAGCGGGGCTCCTCGGGCCGGCTCTGTGTGGAACCCGGGGCCAGTCACGGGGGCAGCCTGAGTGCACAAGGCAGCTCTCTTCACGTCTGCGGGTTCTTACCGGTCCGAAAGGTGGCAGCATTCTGTTCTAGACCATTCTCCAGGCAGCTCCCAGAATGATCATGATAGGCGTCCTCATTTTTCTAGAACTTATACTTTATAAACCATTCTCGTATGTGGTATCTCTATTCATTGCCACAAAAAAGTAAGCAAGGTACTTATTACTTGTTGTACAGACAGCTCTGAGGCCCACAGGAGGGCAAATGACTTTGCCCAAGGTTATGAAACCAGGTGATGGCCAGGACTGGAAATCCAATATTCTGACTCCAAGCCCAGTTTATTTCTATTACATCATATCAGTCAAAATTACAGGCCAGAAGCTGAGTGCGAACTTCACCTTCCTTGCCTAATACAGTGATTTTGGCCATTAGGCTCAGGGGCAACAGGAATTACAGGAAAGGCTAACAATTCAGGTCAAACACACCAACTTCAGGCTAGGTAAGAACGGTCTGACTTTGAGGCCAGTTTTATTTCCTTCCATGAAGACAGCCTTACACAGTTATCCCACGTAGAGGTATTAGGTTTAAACATTAACTTCCCGGCCACTACACGTTCCCGCCACCCCAACTGTGCCCCGCGGCCACATTCCACCTAAAGAGAGCAGTTCCGAGGTCACGCTAGCTGACGTCCAGGAAGGCTAGGCAATTTCATTAGCTGAGAGTGTACCACGTGGGGAACTGAGCCTCATAAAGCCATGTCAGTGAGAAGCAAGTCATGAGGAATAGACAGTCTTAGGGGCATTGAGTCGCTTGGAAAGAGCATCAGGAACGCAGTGTGTTGGGACCGAGAGCTAGCTCCTCCTTCGCCTCAGAGAGCTCATAATCTAACAGGAGAACAAGGCAAAGAAATAGAAGCACACCACAGAACCTCAGCATGCTCATCTCAGAAATGTTACTGAGGCGTTTTTAAGAGTGACTGACTGACTATAAAGCCAAACCAAGTAGAGAGAGTTTAGGAAGATGCCAGGAAAGAGAAGATTGTCGCTGTATTCTAAGACAGAAAGGGAAAGAAATGCATGTTGGGAGCAACTGGGAGACTATTTCTGGCCCAATGAATAGCTTACTGCTATTGGTTAGCAGAAGTAGTAGAGGGTCAGAGGGTTGGGACACTTAGAGGACTGTCACAGAGCATGCCTGGCTTTCATTCACTTACTGAGCGAACATTTGTGGATTCGACGGTGGTTGAAGTAGAGAGCGTGAGCTGAACGCAGATGAAAAGGCCAGCGAGGTAACAGGAAGCAGAGTTGAAAAGTGCACCCAGAAACACGGCGTCGAGGGCCTAAAAACCTGGGGAGGGAGTTTCCAAATGAGAAGCAAATCCAAGCACAGTTGCCTCAAGGAAAGCTTATTATATGTGTTATGGCACTATTGCTCTGAGCCTAAAAAGGAAATGCATAACGAAAATTGCAAGTAAACAAGATTTGCTATCAATGAGAAATCCTGTGTCTGAAACAGTGAGACATGATTCCTTTCTAGGCTTCTCCCCGATTTTGTTACTCGAGAAGAGACTATAGGTGGGCTTTAAGGGGAGCGAACCAGCCTACAATCTGGCTTCTCCCTCTGTGCTAACCTTGAAGTACGTGGATGTTTTGGCTGCTCTTTGATCCGCCTGCCCATGGGCAGTCGCTGTAGACCTTGATGCTTTGCATAAAGGTCATCCCGACTATTATTGTTTCAACCCGCCTGAAGCGCGCCGGTATTATCACTAGGTTAGTGCAAAGCAGACTGCAGCAGACAGCAAGACGATGGCTTGTCCAAAGCTACTGCTGAAAATGTCGGCTTCCTCGCTCAGCCTTCTTTCCTATGTGTACTAAGAACATGCTGAGGGATAGGCAGTGTACTAGAGTTGAAGAAAGTAATAATTTAGCCCTAGCTGGCGTGGCTCAGTGGATTGATCACAGAACTAATGAACCAAAGGGTCACAGGTTTGATAACTAGTCAGGGCACGTGCCTGGGTTGCGGGCGTGCAAGAAGCAACCACACGTTGACGTTTTTCTCCCTCTCTTTCTTCTTCCCTTCCCTTCTCTCTAAAAATAGATAAAATCTTGGAAAATAAATACAATTTAAAAATAAAAAAGGAATAGTTTGGAAGCCAGGTAGACATGGGTTCTCGTCTTGAGTTTGTCACCGGTGAGTTGGATGACCGTAAGCAAGTCACTTAATCTCCCTTGGCCTAGATTCTTCATCTGTGTAATGAAGGAGTTAGACCAGAACAGATGTATAATGTCCCTTCCAGCACTAATATACTGAGCCAGAATAACAGTTGAAGTTCTATAAATGGACTTTGGTTGTTGTTTTTAATAAATGGATTTTAATAAAACTACCTCTATATGGGGTCGTATGGCATCTGAGAAGTTAAAAGAAGGAATGCATGCAAAAGCACCTTGTGACAGATGACATATCACGCAGTACTGTTATTGAAGCACACTAAGCATTTTACAAATATTCTCATTTGTCCCCTTTGGCAGAAAAGGGCAAGCAGGTGTTGCTGTGATGAAAGAATGGAGGTGAACTTGGCTGAGGTGACTTGTCCAAGGTCATGGCCAGTATTAAATACAGGACTAGAGCCCAAGTCTCCTAATTCCTAGGCAGGTTGTCTTTATGTTGAAATTCTCACCAGAGCTTTTCATTCTAAGACACACTGAAATTAGTGCCAGAAGAATTATAGACTGTTAAGCAGTAGTTCTCAAGCCTGGCTGCACATTAGAATCCCCAAGAGAGCTTTTAAACACGGGAGCTAGGGACCCCACCCCCTGATATTCTGATTTAATTGATCTGAGGTAGGGCCTGGCCCTTCTGAAAAGCTCCCCAGAGATTGCGGGTGTGCAATCAGGGTTGAAAAGCACTGGCTTAAAGGAACCCCAGGGGTTCCTTTCAGCTCTACTTCCCACTCTACCCGAAGAAGTTCTCTGTTAGAGTGGTTCTTACCTGTGGTGTTGGGACATGCTGGGTGGGTTGCCAACCGTTGTGATGCACACGTGTGTGCACACACACACCACACACCTGTGTATTTGGGGTTCTGTCTGTGGTAAGACAGGGCATGCTCCCTGTCTTACATTCTGATCTTCTCCTGGCAGGAGTAAAAATGAGATGAAGTTGTAGCTAGCGCATATGACGTTCGTGTGCATACACATGTCCTGTGTGTCGCGGCCGTTCAATAGTAACATCCCCAGGTGTGTTTCTAGCCTCTGCTTCCTTGAAAAGGTCTGGTAGTCAGGGATCTCACGGTGCAGCCGTAACTGTCCGGAAGTTGTTCTTGCTGGTAGGCTGTCTTGTAAACCATCCCAGTGGCTCTTGGCTATGTGAAAGTCTCATTGTTCTTCCTTATGACAGCCTTTCAGACACCACTCTCCTATTATCCCTTCGCATGAAACAGAGACGCATGGGCAGGGTAAGAGAGTGTCTTTGAGGCATACAGATGAATTTGTACACAGTCAGAGGGCCATACCCAGCCTATAGCAACCCATGGATCAGTGTCATCCTGGTGGGGTGTCTCTAGGATGTGTCGTAGAACTCTGTCTTTTGTCCTGTCTTATTCAAAGAAGCAAAGATTTGTTAGTTTTTTATTTTAATGTCAGGTGTGGTATGACTAAGATGGGCATTCCTGTCTATTGCTATTATGGATGTAAACGTGGTAAACCTTTCTGTGAGGCAACTCAAAAATATGTGTCAAGCCTTTAAAAGTTCCTATCTTCCTTACTGGTGCAGCTCAGTGGATTGAGCACTGGACTGCGAAGCAGAGGGTCGGCAGTTCGATTCCCAGTCAGGGCACATGCCTGGGTTGTAGGCCAGGTCCCCAGTAAGGGGTGCATGAGAGGCAACCACACATTGATGTTTCTCTCCCTCTTTTTCTCTCCCTCCCTCTCCCTCTAAAAAGTAAAACATTTTTTAAAATGCTTTAAAAGTTCCTATCTTTTGGCCCAGTAACTACACACATAAGAATTTATTCTAAGGAAATAGTGGTGTGTAAAAAGATTGATTTACTCAACAAGTCTTTTTTGAGCATCAAACTATTATCAGGCACTCTTCCTAGGTGCCGAGGATACAGAGCACAAGACGGAAGATCCTGGGCCTCACAATACTGAAGAGAGACATTCTTGTGGGGAGAGACACACAGTTACCGGAAAAACCTACAAAATCATTTTAGATGATAAGAGATACAAAGAAAATACAGTGAAGTCTCAGATGGGGTGGGCAAAGAGTCCTTCAGTAGAGTGCCTCTCTCAGGAGGAGATGTTTAAGCTGAGATCTGAACAGAGTGAAGGGGCAAGTCAGGAAAGAACCAGAGCAGGAACATTAGGACAAGGAAACTGCAAATGCAGAGACCTCGGGGCAGGGTGAGTCTGCTTTATGAAGGAGCAGCGCAAAAGACCACTGTGTGGGGCCACGGTGTGTTGAGAAGTGGGAGACAGTAGTCCCAGGTCGGATCAGAGGGGAGCCAGGGCCCTGATCGTGGAGGGCCTTGTCAATCCCGGTGAGATCTGGGTCATATTTATGTACCAGGTTGTTCGCTGTAACGTCGTTTTTAATAGCAAGCAATTTCTTTCAAAGCAATCTGAATAGCTAATGTAGGGGACTGGTTTAACAAATTGAGATTTTTCACATCATGCAATACTATATTACAGCTATGAAATATTAAAAATCACAGGTTTTTTTATTGTTTTTTAAGATTTTATTTCTTTAATTTTAGAGAGAGGGGAAGGGAGGGAGAGAAACATCAACGTGTGAGAGATACCTCAGTTGGTTGCCTCTCGCGTGCCCCCAACTGGGGACCCAGCCCACAACCCAGGCATGTGCCCTGACTGGGAATCGAACCGGCAGACTTCCAGTTTGCAGGCTGGCACTGGATCCACTCAGCCACACCAGCCAGGGCAAAGTCACGGTTTTGATTTGGAAATTTTATAAAGTGATATATATTATTCTCATAATCAAAAAAGACATTAATTATGGGGTTTTTGACCTTCACAACTGCAGAATAATGAGGATAGTTGTCGTCAGAGAGAGACAAAGGGCTTGAATTTAACTGTAAGCCCAGGATGAATCCACAAAGACATGAAGGAGGGGAAGCTACTGTGATTTTAGTCTTCATTCACAAAACTGTCGGGTCTGTAACCAGGGAGGTGGCTGTGTCGGTCCACTTCACCACGGTCCCAGCACATCTAGAAAGTGATGCTTATTTCTAGATGTCTCAGTGAAAGATGAACTTGGGCAAAGTGGTCTATAGTCCAGCTGGTGAGGATTCTTGGAAGCCATGCCACGTGCTGAATCACTGACGGCGCTCTGGGTATATTTAGCTTTGAGAGGACTTGGACAGAGGGGCACTGGGGAGTGAAAACGATGTTCAGGGTTTGAACAACTGTGCTGGGAAAGTGGAGTTCAACTGACCCCATGTCACTTCAGATGACAGAAGTGTGTCCTGTGGTCAGAAGTTTTACGGAAACCATCGTCATGCCAGGATGAATAGTTGGGGATAATTAGAGCGGGGCTATTAAAGAGGTGCTTCAAACACCGCGCCGAGCTTTAGACGGTCGCTTGACGTCTCCTCTGACTCACCCATCATGCTGTGAGCTCTGCCACCTGTTCGTTCCAGGCCAAACTATCCCACTTTCTTCCATTGTTTCTCTTATAACATCGCTTTCCATAAGGCTGGTCACCTGTCTCTTTTTGGTTTAATGTCCTCTTTTTTAAAAAGATTTTATTTTTTTAAGATTTTATTTATTTATTTTTAGAGAGGGAAGGGAAGGAGAGAGGGGGAGAGAGAGAGAGAGAAAGAAAGAAAAAACATGAATGTGCGGTTGCTGGGGGCCGTGGCCTGCAACCTAGGCATGTGCCCTGACTGGGAATCAAACCTGCGATGCCTGGTTCACAGCCCGCGCTCAATCCACTGAGCTACGCCAGCCAGGGCTAAAAAGATTTTATTTATTTTTTAGAGAGAGGGGAAGGGAGGGAGAAAGAGAGGGAGAGAAACATCAATGTGTGCTTGCCTCTCGTGTGCCCCCAACCGGGGACCTGGCCCACAACCTAGGCATGTGCCCTGACTGGGAATCAAACCAGCAACCGTTTGGTTCACAAGCTGGCACTCAATCCACTGAGCCACACCAACCAGGGCATAATGTTCTCTTTATTACACATACACACAGTGAACTCCTGAATGTGTCCACAAGGAAACATGCTTTTTGATTAGGCAGGTTGAATACATGGAAAGCAATTCTAACAGTGCCTGGCACACATTAATGTCAACTACTACCGCAGCCTTGTCGGTACGTGTGAAACATGGTGCTGTGAGCAGTAGGGATGAAGAGTGGCCTGTTCATAGAGTGAAAAGGAATGCAACCAGAGGAGCTACATGTGTTCGCATAAAGTTTGAAACCATGTCAGAAAATTCCCTGTATTGATAAAAATTCAATTGTGGTAAAAAGACATGTGCAGGAATAAAAACCGCTTAATCAGAGAGACTTTGCTTGCCCCTGGGAGGGAGGAGGGATGAGAAAGGAGACCTCAGTGACATCTGTCATATTTTCTTTATTAGGAGAGGGCCACGAATGCAGGGGCGGTTTTATTGTCTATGATTTTCTATGCCGGACAAGATGCTGCAGCCGTATAATGGGACAGATTGCTTCAAATGGGCTCTGGCTGACCGAAGGCACAGCGAGGCAGTTGCTGTTGTGACTTCCGCGCCCCAGATGTCTGCCTGACTGTGTTTGGGTTTGGACGGCCGTTTTGCACTTTGAACTCCTGGAACTTGACAATGCCTCCAATCCCCCAGGCCTTTTGTGCAAACACTAATTTTCAGCCAGATCTTCCCTCCCACCATGTTACACTCATGTGGCTGAGTTTGGAGGGCACCTAAATGCCAGACTTGCACGGATCCCTGTTATAACTTTTCTTTTACTTTCAGCCCGTAATTTCAGCCTGTCAGAATATTTGTGAATTATGGTTCTGTTCTGTTACGTATCAGTCATCCTTCCAGCTTTGTGTTGTGGTTACAGCCACTTCGCATGCCTACCTTGCAGACAAGTTTTGAGATTCAAATGGTACTTGGTTTTCGTACACTATATGAAAGTACTCTGCAGACAGTAAAGTGCTATACAGATGTAAAAGATATTCCATATCATCAGTGACTCATGAAAATGCTGAACGATTCAGGTGCTGAGGGCAAAACCCAGGCTGACACTGAACAACTGTAGAAATGTGAGCTGGATGAAGTACTGTTAGGGAGACTCCAAAACATCGAGCAACTGTGCCCAGGCCTTAAATACACCAAACTCTGCAACCGTGCAGCTCAAATTTCTTTACTCTGCCCAGAAACTTATCCTGAGAGTCTCTGTCAGTTGCCCTGCATTGTTACGCGCTCTCTCTCTCTCTGATCTGTCCTTCGAGTGTTTTATGCCCACCGAACTGGATTTGGCTGGCTTGACTTGTCCTTAGTAAACCTATGTTGCTTCACGCTGCTCACTGTTTCACTAAAGAGAGGACTGAGGAGATAGAAGCTTGGTAAAGTTGCTGGTGTTTTTGAGAAAGGCTTGCAAATGAAGGGAAGGCCCCTTAAACCAGCCCTCTAACCCCGTCAGTAATGAGTCTTCGTACGAACATGTTTTGCAGTGTTCCTGCAAGGGCTGGTGTGGGAACAGGCAGTGTGGGTGCCGGAAACAGAAGTCGAACTGCGACACGGACTGCAGCTGTGACCCCACAAAGTGTAGGAACCGTCAGCAAGACAAGGTAGGACCAGTGTCATCGCCCCTCACCTTCCCCATGAGCTTGTTCTTCATCCTGCAGCCTGGAGTCTCCTGCACAGCTCTTCCTGTTCTTCTCCTTCCCTCTGCAATCTGAAAAAGACACAGTTCGTTAATCCTTCTTCCTCTGTGCTGGCCTGTCCACGCATCCCCTTCAGAAACCACAGCCCTTCCTGGGAGATTCCCAGGTACGAGCCCCCCATTCCCAGCTGTGGCTACAAAGTTCCTGCATAGTTTCTGACGCAGGAACGAGGAAGCAGAAAGCAGACACTTAAAGGCATATAGACTCGTGGAATCAGGCTAATCCAGAGGCTTAGCTGGAACTGTACGGGCCACGTGCTGAGGTGGCAGCTTTCAGGAAGAAAGTTGATCCTTCAGACATCTCAAGACATTAGTTACTTAGCCCCTCTCCGTGGGAACCAGCTATTCCGTGGCTCCAGGAAAAGACCCACAAGAACATGGTCTTCCTAACAGTCACCATTGTGAGCCAAGTTAATTGTAGCTATCCTCCGTGTATTGCTCCCAGGAACAGGAAACTCAGAGCAACAAAATGTGTGCTGAGAAGGCCAGCACCAAGCAGGTGAGATCTACACGCTCATTTTCCGCCTACCTGGGCCGAGGGCCAGAGCTCATTCCTACAGCTCTCTGTGCGATAAACAATCATTTTAGTGCGCTTAGTCTAATGATTATTCATGGTGCATTTCTTGAATGGCTCCATGTGAGCGGTTTTGCCCTGGGTTTTTCATTAAAAATACTTCCAAGGTAAGTAGTCATTAGAGGACTAAAACAGCAAGCCAGAGGTCAGGCTAACAATTGTAGGTATCACAGGGCCCTCAGCAGTCTGTTCCTGTGGTTTCCTTCAACTCAGGTTCTAGACTCCTATGGTGGCTCCATGGAAATGCCTCTGAGTAGATGTACGTGACCTGACCCAGCGTGACCCCTTGTCAGCCGAAGCAGCTTGCTCTTTACCTGTTTACATATTGGGCTTCCTCTTAGGATTTCAGTTGTAGAAACCACTGACTTAGTGTAATGCTTTTATTTTACCAAGAACGAAACTAAGGCCCAGAGATAAGCTTAGGTGACTCACCTGATAATACACGGCTGGTATGATAGCTAAAATTAGACCTCACTATCACACTCTGTGACTTCAAATTATACTACAAAATGACAGTAATCAAAATGACACGGTATTGGCAGAATAACAGACACACAAACCAATGGAACAGATTTGACACCCCAGAAATAAACCCACATGTATATGGGCAACTAATTTTCAACAAAGGAGCCAAAAACATACAATGGAGAAAAGGAAGCCTCTTCAATAAATGGTGCTAGGAATATTGGAAAGCCACATGCAAAAAAAAAAAAGGAAAAAAGAAAAAGAAAGAAAGAAAAATTAAACCAGACTGCTATTTGTCACCATACACAAAAATTAACTCAGAATTGTTCAAAGACCTAATTATAAGACCCGAAACAACAAATTACATAGAAGAAACTGTAAGTACTAAACTTATGCACCTTGGTCATAGAAAGGACTTTCTTAATTTGACCCAAAGGCAAGGGAAGTACAGGCAAAAACAAACGAATGAGACTAAGGCTAAACTAGTTGTGCACAGCTAAAAAAAAAAAAAAACCTGCCAACAAAACAAAAAGGCAACCAACTGAATAGGAGAATGTGTTTACAAACAACACCTCTGATACGGGGTTAATAACTAAACTATATCAGGAACTCATACAACTCAGCAACAACAGCAACAAAAAAATCCAGTTTAAAAATGGGCAGAGGGTCTGAATAGAAAACATCTAAGAAGACATACAAATGGCCCACAGATGTATGAAGAGATGCTCAACGTCACTAGCTATCGGGGAAATGCAAATCAAAACCACAATGAGCTACCACCTCACACCTGTTAGAATGGCTGTCATCAACAAGACAGGTACTAACAAGTGTTGGAGAGGTTGTGGAGAAAAGGGAACCCCCATTCACTGCTGGTGGGAATGTAAACTGGCACAGCCACTATGGAAAAGAGTATGGAGGTTCCTCAGAAAATTACAAATAGAGTTATCAGATGACATAGCAATCCTCCTGTGGGAATCTACCCAAAACTTTTGAAAACTTTTATTCGCAAAGATATATGCACCCCTACGTTCATTGTGGCATTATTCGCGGTGGCCAAGACGTGGAGACAACCAGTGATTGGACAGGGGAGATGTGGTACGTGTTTACAATGGAACACTACTCAGCCGTAAGAAAAGACGAAATACTGCCTTTTGTGACAACACGGATGGACCTTGGGTAGATCATGGAATAAGTCAGAAAAAGTCAGGAAGTATATGATTTCATTCATATGTGGCACATAGGACTGAAAGCACCAAATGGACAAACGAGAAAAGCAAACAAAAACTCATAGACACAGACAACAGTAGGGTGGTTATCAGAGGGAAGGGGGAAGGTCGTAAAGGGGAAATGAGGTCAAGTACATGGTAACGGAAGATGACGTGACTTTGGGTGGTGGGCACACAATGCAATATACCAATGATGTGCCTTAGAATTGTACACTTGAAACCTATATAATTGTATTCACCAATGTCACACCAATACATTTAATAAAACATGTTAAAAGATCTTAGACTTCTAAAAAAAAAAAAAAAGACTGGACCTCAGGCTTCCTGACACTTAATGCAGTTCTTTTTTCATAACAGCAGGTTGTAACTGCAATCAAAGGTCTACCACAGAGTCTCCTTGTTACCTAAGTAACTTCTTCCTCTCGGCTTCAGTCTCCTTCCTGATAAAAAGACTACTATAGGCAACCCCTTGTAGAGAGAGGTGCTAAAAAGGCTAGTGCCACCCGGAGAAAGGGAAGGTTAACCAAGGAAATGAGCAAACCTTGGTCTTGATTAAACCTTGCCTTGTGACGTGTCCTGGGCCACTATTCTACCGAGTCCTTTGCCTGCAGAAGGTGCCATCAAGCACTACGACCTTCCCAAGCAGGCAGGGTCACCCTGGGACCTGCTTAGACACTGGTGAGGCCTCCAAGCTGGCGTCTTACTGGTTGAAGGGGAGCAGTGATTCTGTAACCCTGGGACTTGAACTTCCAATGGCTTATCTACTTGATTCACAGGACAGCTTGGGCACTATTGAGCGGACCCAGGATTCCGAAGGCTCCTTCAAACTGGAGGATCCCACGGAGGTGACTCCGGGAATGAGCTTCTTCAACCCCGTCTGTGCCACTCCGAACAGCAAGGTAAGTGGGCTGAAAGGCAGCCGTTTCCAGCTGTGGTATCGCCCATCTCGGCCTCAGTTCTAACAGAGAGCAGTGGGGGGAGGGGGAGGTACACTCTGCCTGTTGGGAACTGGGAATGGGGCATAGGCTGGAGTCCATTTCCTCCCACAGGTGAGACTTAGGGGACGCCTTGTACTGTCGGGAGCATGCTGAGCCTTCATGGGGGCCAAGCTGGGCTGAGCCTCTGCCCCCACCTGACATCTCGTCAGACCTGTTTCTGTCCTTCCTAGATCCTGAAAGAGATGTGTGAGGTGGAGCAGGTTCTGTTAAAGACCGCTCCAAATGCCTCCTCCCTCAGCCTCCCGGAGTTGAAACATGTCACCGCAGAATCCCAGGAGAATAAAGCTCCAGGGAAGAAAAAGAAACGAGCTCTGACCAGCAGCATGAGCTTCTTCTCGGGCTGCTCCCCTGCTGAAGAGGAAGTCCACTGAGCTTGGACTCGTCGCCTCTGCCTCATTCTGGCTTGGGAGATGCGTTCCAGTAGCAGCCAGAGGGTTGTTGGGTTGTTTTTGGTTTTTTTTTTTTTTAATGACTCCTCTAGATTTCAGGTTTCTTGCTGTTGTAAAAGGGGGACAGCGTGTTGCTGAGAGGGAAGGAACACCTGTTGGACTAGCACTGTCTCCTCCAGAAGGGCGCCAAGCCACCTGCCGAGGAGCGAACCAACTGACCTTCCTGCCGACTCTCAGGACCCAGTCGCCCCTGTACAATCTAGCTCCTTGCGATTCTCGGACAGTGAAGGCTGTCCCCCAGTGGGGACGAGGTGGCCAAGGCTGTCTTATCTCTGGGTTGTCTCAGCCTAATGGCGGAGCCCGGCGTGGGGGGTGGGGGGGGGGGGTGGGGAGCGGCACCAGTCCTTCACACCCACCTCAGGAAGGGGGGCTCCGTGGTGCTGAAGTAAATGAAACCTCTAAAAATGTTAACGTTTTAATGATGTAAATAAATAAATAAAGTTTAGTGCCACTGCCGTTTGCAAAGACCCTTCTGTGCTCCACTTTCAACCTGCATTCCTCGGCCCCTGGGGAGGCCACAAAGGACAATCCTTGCAAGCCACCAGGGTCTCACTGCCTTGTCGCAGCCTCTGTCCCTCGAGGGGTGTACGGAGCACCACGGTGTGTCTTCGCGTCGCTCTGCCACCTTAGGAAATCGGAAGCCCGCTAGCAAGGCCTGTGGCCTGACCTCCACTGCACAGCCTGCTGGCCCCTGGACTTGGGAAGCAGGGGTCATATGTACACACTAAGCATCTGCGTGCGCCTGCCACAGTTTTATTTGAAGTCACAGACTTAGTGAGTAAGAGAGCTAGGACTTGAACCTAAGTCTAATGCCAGAGCTTCCTATATGACTGGAGTGGCACCGGTGACGATCCCTATCGCCCCGCAGCCTGACTTCTTGTGGGAGCAGAGCGTGGGGCTGCACTTCTCCTTTGAGAGGGGAGTGGAGGGCCGTGGCTCACTCTGTATTCAGTATCAGCGCTCTCCGTTTCTGCTTACAGCGAAAAAAGGGGCCAGCCCTGGAATGCCAAACTGGTTGCTGACTGGCCTTGCAGCCTTCCGAAGAGTTTGCAAGCCCTGGGCAGCCTGTTGTATCCATGCATTCTGAATCCTAGCCGCCCCCCTCATAAAAGCTCCCTCCCAAAGCACCCCTCAGAATTTGGCACATGAAAGCCAAGACTCGAGAATCCACCAGAACCAAGCAAAGTGGAGGACGCCCTGCTGAGAATGAGGCCTGCAGGAGCGCTGGGTGTCCCCGCAGCCCTCGCTGGCCTCCAGCCAGCAAGCAGCCCTGCTTCTCTGCATTTTAATGTCGAGGGAGCAGGAGAGCCTCTGCCATTGCCAGCTAGAGCCCCTGGATACAATGGGAAGGCAGAGAGAGGGAGGGCGGCTGTCTCTTGGCATAACAGTCTTCCTTCCCGCTGTTCCAGACCCAGTGCGCGCTGGGGGAGGGGGAACAGCTATCCCCAGAGAGGCGTCCTCTCCCACCAACACAGCGCCAGCGCACAGGCTCTGAGCCACCGCATCGGCCTAAAGGGAGACAGGGGAAGGTACCTCAAGCCAGCCCCCAGCCCCCACGCCGTCCAGACCCCTGTGCTGTAGCACTAAGCTGACTGCGAGCGCGCTAGCCAGCCCTCTCTGCCGCTGGTGTAGTGACTGCATCTTTTGTATGTTGTGGATGAAAAAGGGACCACATACGAAACCTGAGCAGCTCAGGAGAGGCCTGCGCGGCAGCCTTGCAAACACAGAGACCGAAAGTGACCATGTAGGACGGTCGGAATATGAAAATTCTTAAAAGTGGGGAGTGACATCCTAGGCCTGTATCTTCCTTGACATAGTCAATCTTTTTTTTTAAGATTTTATTTATTTATTTTTAGAGAGGGAAGGGAGGGAGAAAGAGAGAGAGAGAGAGAGAAAAACATCAATGTGCGGGTGCTAGGGGCCGTGGCCTGCAACCCAGGCATGTGCCCTGGCTGGGAATCGAACCTGCGATGCTTTGGTTCGCAGCCCAATCCGCTCAATCCACTGAGCTACGCCAGCCAGGGCCACATAGTCGATCTTTACCCTAAGTAAGCCTGTCTGTGGTCTTTTGTACATTTAAGATGTTGTTGTAATGTCAAAGTAATCAGGTTTCCCGAGCCCACAGGACACACCTACTGCACCTACTGCATTAGAGACCACGGCCCCTCACTGTTCTCTTGTTCCCCACACACCATTTCTATGGGCTGTAAACATTATCCTGTGGCCACCGATGTAAAAGAAATACGTGCCTCTGTTTTACTTTTTACCTAACCTCAGCGATATCCCCACTTGGCTTTCTCCTGACCCCTTAATCTACCACCCATGGAGTTTATGTAACCCTCCTTCCATCTCTTCCTTTGATGTTCGTGAATAAAATAGGCTGTAAAACCACCATTCTCCAGAGCACTTTCTCAGCCCCTTGAGGTCTTGCTTCCCAGCAATTGTCAGTTTGGCTCAAAGAAACTAATAAAAATTCTCTATAGGTTTGAATGTTTGTTATGTCAACAATGTGTTCATCTTTCAAAAGCCTGTGACCCGAACACCCTACCCTCCTCCAATATTCTTGGAAGGAGACTTGAAATACTTTGGAGATAAGGCAGCTGAAATCCTGAGTGAGCATATCCTGGCTGGGGTGATGGAGAGGAAGAGGAGGATCTACACGATCCATGGGGACCCCTGGCCTAGAAACAGGGTGACCTGCTGTCCTGATTTCAGGAAGTAGCTTGCATTTTTTTCTTCGCCATGTACTTTGCAGAAGTAGAAGTAGGCTCCCAAGGGGGAAAGGAGGCTGGTGAACCAAGGCTGTCCTCCCATGAAGCTTGACACCAAATTCTAGACTCCCTCACACACACACACACACACACACACACACACACACACACCCCTTCCCAGGGGGCTGGCTGGGCCCCTTCTCCTCTGCCAAGCTGCAGAGTTGTGTGGTCACCTCCCCCAGCTTCCCTCCCGCCTGCCAGTATGCCCTCAGCCCTCTCCTCCCTGAGCCAGGACAAAGCCCCCGGCAGTGACTGAGTGGAGCAGGAGGAGGGACAGAGGGACGGGGAAGGCTGCACAAAAGAATTCCTCACCCCAAAGCCCCCTGACCGGCAGCAGCAGCGAGTAAAGAAGCAGATCTGCCCTCCCTCTTCCCTCCTCCCTCCCATCTTCCCACCCAGACTGGGCACAGGCCAGAGAGCAACTGCAGGCCCTCAGAGGCCCTTGGAGAGGTGGCACTGTCGGCTTCCTATAGGTGGCAACAGTAGCACCTGTTTGAGCGGACGAGCTGAGCTGAGGACTGGCAGAGGGAGGAGGCAGAGAACTCCGACAACTCGGAGAGGAGCTGGGAAGCAGTGCGGAGCACAGAGCAGAGCTGCCGCTGAGAGAAGGTGCGAGGGCCCCTGGAGGGCTGGGGGCTAAGGCGGGAGCAGCGGGCGGGCGGGCGGAGGCTGGCTCCAGCCGGCAGCGATTGGATAGCATCCTTGCTCAGCCCCCCTGACTGGGGCTCTCAGGCTGCTCAGACCTGACCCCATCCTCCAGACAGCTCCTGGAGGCCGGTGACACTCCCGCAGGCAGTATCTGGGGTACAGGGGCAGTATCTGAGGGGAGGTGGGAGGTGCGGATGGAGTCCAGGGCAGGCTACCACAGCCCCGCTCCTCCAGGATGGGAGGAGGTGGGGCCGCCCTTTGGGGTACCGTTTTCCTGGGAGGGGCCTCAGGGAGCAGACAGGTCTCCTTCCATAGACTCAGGCCCCAACCCCTCCATGCCCTGCCCGAACCTCCTTTCCCAAGGCAAGCATAGGGTAAGGAGAGCAGTTTTGGGAGCAGCCACACCCTCCGTCCTTTCAGGAGCCCAGCCACGGTGCGCCCGCTAAGACTCCACAGCCTCAGGAGAGCCCCAATGACAAGGGGTGGTGTCGCATAGAACGCACACATTTGGGGTGTATTCGGGAGCTCCTTTACACACCCAGGGTCATGGACAACCCCGTTTGTCCTGCCAGCCACCAGTGCACATGCAGGTACAAATGGTGACACACATCACACACCCTCTTCTGGGTGATCAGCATCACACATCCAGCTTAGTTTGGGGATGAGTAAGCCCGGTCAGTCTCAGCCTGACTCAAAAGCACAAGGTACAGGGATCGCCTGTCCCAAGACATCCACACCACCCATACCTTTGCCCTATATTTGTTGCACTTTCACCTTAGGGACCTCAGAGAGTGGGAACTCTGAAAGTGCAGGGAGGCTGGGTTCCTGGCTGCGGTGGAGGGGTAGCTGGGCAGGAAGCGATGCGACTGGGGAAGAGGGCTTGGACTTGGCCACGTGTGTGTGTGGACAGGAAAAGAACAGGAGTGACCCAGGCTGCCTGTTCCCCTGTCTTCCCGTCCTTGGCTGTGCCCCCTGCCCCCCCAGAAAGTGGAGAGCGAAGGTGGAGATCTTTCAGTCAGGGCTTTGTGAGGTGTACAATCTGTATCCATAGCAACTGGTCAACTAGCTAAGCCTCCCCTTCGCCCCAGGTCGGAGCTGTAACTCTTGCTTCAAGTTACTCTTGCTCCTTGAGGTGGAAGCTTGGCCAGATGTGACTCAACTTGCTGAACTGAGTTTGCCCCACCCAAAGCAGTTTCTCCCGAGTCTCCACCCTGGGCGGGCAAGCCGTGTATCCCCAGAGCTGAGATGCTGTTAATGAACAGTGATTGGACGGTCAGCCTGCCAGCAAACAGGCTGGACTTCTCCTGTGTCCCACAGACTGAGCAGGTATCCAGATTAAAAGGAAAGAGTCTGGAGACTGTCCCCCTGGGGCTCCTCACATACACTGGGAAGGAGGTTGCAATCTGCCTTCTACCAAGGCCCCAGAGGGTAGAGTATCCCCTCCCGCAGGCGCACACCATGGCCGAGTCTCCCGGCTGCTGTTCCACGTGGGCCCGCTGCCTGCGCTGCCTGTATAGCTGCCACTGGAGGAAGTGCCCCAAAGAGAAGAGGAAGAGCCACCAGGTGGAGTAGTGATGGGGAGGGTGGAAGTCCAAGGCTGGGGTCCCTTGGAGGGGAGGAGGCCGAGGTGGCCAGCGCGCTCTGAAGCAGCTGAGGGGTGGGGGGAAGGGGCTTTTTCTCCCCGGGGAAGAAAAATCTCTCAAATATGGGAAGAGAGTGTCCCCAATGCCCGGCAGGAAGTCCCCTGGAGTTGCTGTCCATTGGGGACTGAGCTGGAAGTGGGAATCCGCTGTGAGCTTCTCTCTTGCCCCTTTACAGTGTGAATGTTTCTGGTTTGGCCTGCTCTTCCTCACCTTCCTCGTCTCCCTGGGCTGGCTGTACGTCGGGCTCATCCTCCTCAATGACCTGCACAACTTCAATGAGTGTGTCCCGGACGCCAAGCCCCCGCCCCTTTCCCTCCCCCTCCCCCGCCCCCGCCTCAGCATACATGTGAACCTACTCCCCACCCTGGGACCCCTGGGTGCTCAGTCATCCCCAGCCCTACCCAGCCCTCCTGCTGCTTAACCTCCTTAGACGACCCCTCCGCGAAATCTCCCCAGTCCTGCAATTCCTGGCCCTGTGAAGGGCTGCCCCTTACTCCCTTCCGGTCCTCCATCTGGGTCTGCCCAGCCCGACTCCCCTCAGACCACTGCAAACACCCCTTCCTGCACCCAGAGCCCTCTCTCCCCTCCCACAGATTCCTGTTCCGCCACTGGGGACACTGGATGGACTGGTCCCTGGCATTTATGCTTTTCGTCTCTCTATTGGTCACATATGCATCTCTGCTGTTGGTGGGTTGGGGGTTTGGGGGTGCTGGCCCAACCACCACCTCAGCTGTTCCTCCCTGATCAGCTCTACCCTGTCCCACTGCGGGGAGGGGAGGAGGGAGGTGTCAGCCTGTGAAGCCTGCCTCAGTGACCCACGTCTCTTGGCGCCTCATTACTCCCACGCCCCTGTGCCCCCAGCTCCTGGCTGTGCTCCTGCGGCTCTGTGGCCAGCCCCTCCATCTGCACTGGGTGCACAAGGTACAGTGGGAATGGGAGCGAGCGGGAGAGGGGGCCCCTGGGCCCAGCCCTTGGCTGGCTATTTGCTAAAGACCTCACCATTCTCTCCCTGGTCTGGAACTCAGCATCTGAAGCCCAGTAAATATTTGGTAAATGAAAGAAGGGCCCTGGCTTGTGTGGCTCAGCAGATTGAGCTCCAGCCTGCGAACGGAAGGGTCGCTGGTTCAATCCCCAGTCTGGGGCACGTGCCTGGGTTGTAGGCCAGGTCCCCAGTAGGGGGCGCATGAGAGGCAACCACACACTGATGCTTCTCTCCCTCTCTTGCCCTCTCTAAAAATAGACATAAGTTTTTAAAGAGAAGGACAGAAAGTGGAGGAGTCAGGGAAAGGGAAGGGTCCCGTTCTCATAGATTGCGGGGCAGCCCAGGTGGCCATGAACCGGGGGTTGACACAGAAGGCCCCCTTCATCCCCGGGTCCTCCAGGTGCTGCTGTTCCTCATTATACTTCTTGTGGCCGCCGGCTTTGCAGTACTGGGCGTCCAGTGGCAGGAGGAGCTGCTTAGCTTACATCTGTCACTACAGGTGAGTGGCTTCAGTTGCTGATCTCCAGTTGCTGGGTGAGAGCCATGGCCTGGGGTCAGTCCCAGAACCTATCTGGCTCCCTGGTTCCCCAGGACTGCAAGTAGCTCTAAGCTCCCAAAATCACGTCCTCCAAGGAGAAAGGAGAAGAGCCCTCCTCACCAACTCTCACCCACAGGCCACAGCCCCATTCCTTCACATTGGAGCTGTTGTTTGCATTACCATCCTGGCCTGGCCTGTGGCGGATGCCTTCTACCGTATCCACCAAAGAGGTGCCAACTGCGCTCCCCTACACGCCCTCGCTGGCTACCCTTGCTTCAGCCTCCTGCTGCCCAATCTCCTGCGACTGCCCTCTGCTCCTGGCCACGCCCCCTCTCCCCCCTGCACTGAGCTCGCCCAGTGCCCTCTCTCCATAGCATGTCCCCCACTACCCACAGGTCGCAGGATTGTGCTACTGTCCCTATTTTTTGGAGTTGTCCTGGCCATCTACCTGTCCCCGCTGTGCATCTCCTCACCGTGTATCATGGAATCCAGACACTTACCGCCCAAGCCTCAGCTAATGGGGCACCGAGGAGCCCCCATGGTGAGAGTGGGGCAGAATGCTGGCGAGGCAGGGAGGGTCTGCAGCAGCCAGGCCTGTGGGTCTCCAGGCCCCCACCCTTCCCAAAGACCTCCTCAGCAACTCCCTTCCCCAGCTGGCCCCCGAGAACACCCTGATGTCCCTGAGGAAGACTGCTGAATGTGGCGCTGCTGTGTTCGAGACCGATGTCATGGTCAGGTGAGGGAAGTTGAGGTGGGGAGGCGGGGGCAGGGGCATTGCTGACAGGCACAGCGGGGGAGCTCCAGAAATGGGAGCAGCCCCAGAGCTCAGCCCTCTGACACCCCTTGCGCCCTCAGCTCCGATGGGGTCCCCTTCCTCATGCACGATGAGCGCCTGAGCAGAACCACAGATGTGTCCTCTGTGTTTCCAACCCGCATCACGGCGCACAGCAGCGACTTCTCCTGGGCAGAACTGAAGAGACTCAACGCCGGAGCCTGGTTCCTGGAGGTGAGGACAGTATCTGTCCCGTCTGGGAACAGACAGCCACCTGCAGGGCCACTCAGGGCAGAGTTCCCTCACTGATAAGCACTTGCCGAGCCTTGTGCTGGGCAATACGTATACAGTCACCCCTCTGAGGCCACTCCCTTCTAGTAAATAAAAATGACAGCTAGGGCAACAGGTTATCAGAGTATGAAACCCAGAGTGATGACAGCGTTGTTACTGAGTAAAGACGTCACTGTTTGGCACGGTGGCTGTGGGCGAGGGTCAGGCGAAGTTTTGCAGGGAGAGGACACCAAAGTGGTATTTAAGGCGGACAAGGCAGGAAATGAGAATTCTGGTCAGAGGCGAGATTGCAGCTAAAGCCCAGAAGGGTGAAGAAGCGTTTCCCAGGGGATACGAAAGTAGCTTGGCGGCACCGAGAGATAAAACTCAGGGGAGCAGGGGGAGGGGAGGCTGGTGAGGGGAGCAGAGGCTTGGTCTTGGAAGGCTTCGAATGCCAGGCCCACAAATGCGGACTTCAGTCCTGCAAGGGATGGAGTCCTCTGCAAAGGATACTTTATTTTTTTCAGTTCCTTTTTGTCCTTGTAAAAACAGAGATCAGACAAATAACCAAGAAATGGAAAAGTCTCTCAAATTCAACCCCTCCAGATAGTCACTGTTAACAGTGGGTTTCGTATTCCATATGTACATATGTTTACATGCACACAGATATATGCACACACATATACACTTTTCATTTTGCACAGATAGGACCACTTCACGTATTCTTTTGCAACTTCCTTTTTTTTATTTTTTATTGTACGTTTCCATTACCATTTATCCTCCTTATACTCGCCTCCTGCAATCACCACACTGCTGCCCATGTCCATGAGTCCTTTTTCTATTTTGCTTGATCCCTCCACCCCCTAAGCCCCCCACTAGCTGTCATCTGCTCTCCATCTATGAGTCTGTCTCTATTTTTCTTGTCAGTTCAGTTTGTTCATTACATTCCACATATGAGTGAACCATATGGTGTTTGTCTTTCTCTGACTAGCTTATTTCACTTAACAAAATATTCTCCAGGTCCATCCATGATGTCACAAAGGGTACTATTTCCTTCTTTTTATGGCTGAGTAGTATTCCATGGTGTACATGTCCCTTAGTTGTTTTAGCCATTCATCTACTGATGAGCACTTGGGCTGCTACCAAGTCTTGGCTATTGTAAATAAGGCTGCAATGAACATAGGGGTACTTATATTATTTGGAATTAGTGTTTGGGTTTCTTCAGACATATTCCCAGCAGTGGAATCACTGGGTCAAAAGGCAGTTCCATTTTTAGTTTTCTGAGGAAATTCCATACTGTTTTCCACAATGTCTGCACCAGCCTTCATTCCCACCAACAGTGCACTAGGGTTCCCTTTTCTTCACATCCTCGCCAGAGCTTGTTGTTTGTTTACTTGTTGATGGTAGCCATTCTGACTGGCGTGAGGTGATTTTGAGTCTTTATATAATGACACATCAGATTATGAAGAGCAAGGGGTGTCTCGGTTTGCATCCTGGCTTGCTTCAGCACTTCCTAGCTGCGTGAGCCTGAGTAACATTCCTTAGTCTCTCTGTGTTTCATTGTCCTCATCTGTGAAATGGGAATAATAACTACCTTGTATGATTATTGGGAGGACTGAATAAATGAATACACATAAAGTACTTCGTTTATCTCAGATCTTTGTCTTCACTTATTTGCTCATGTAAATATAGGCTTGTGGGGTCTTGTTTTACACAATGAATTATATTTATTATGACTATGCTCACCTTTCCTGCTGGTGACAAGTTCACCCAGTATTCACTTATGTGGAAAAGCCTTTTTCCGCCCTGGCTGGTGTAGCTCAGTGGATTGAGCTCGGGCTGCGAACCAAAGCGTCACAGGTTCGATTCCCAGTCAGGGTACATGCCTGGGTTGCAGGCCATGACCCCCAGCAACCGCACATTGATGTTTCTCTCTCTCTCTCTCTCTCTCTCCCCCCTTCCCTCTCTAAAAATAAATAAATAAACTCTTTAAAAAATAAGAAAAGCCTTTTTCCACCATTATTTTTTACTAAGACTTTATTTAGAAGTGTGGAAGTATATATAAGAGAACAGGTGTATTATCTCTCTTGAGTTTATTGGGATAACACTGGCTAATAAAATTATATAGGTTTCAAGTATACAATTCTACACTTCATCATCTGTCTATCGTACTATGTGTTCTCCTTCCATCACCATTTATCCGCCTTTACCCTCTCCTACCTGCCCCCCCCCTCTGGTCATCCCCATACTGTTGTCTGTGTCTATGAGGTTTGTCTTTTGCTTAATCTCTTCCCCTTTTTCACCCAGTTCCCCAAACCTGCTCCCCTCTGACAGCTGTCAGTCTGCTCTCTATGAGTCTTTCTATTTTGTTTGTTCATTTATTTTGTTCATGAGCTTCCACATATAAGTGAAACCATATGGCAGTTGTCTTTCTCTAATGACAGTTAACAGAATGCTGTCCAGGTCCATCCATGCTATTGCAAAGGGTAAGATTTCCTTCTTTTTTACGGCAAGTAGTATTCCATTGTGTAAATGTCCCACAGCTTTTTTATCCACTCATGTACTGATGGGCACTGGGGCTGTTTCCAGATCTTGGCTATTGCAAATAACACTGCATTGAACATACAGGTGCATATATTCTTCCAAATTAGTGTTTCAGGTTTCCCCACATAAACTCCCAGGAGTGGAATCACTAAGTCATAAGGCAGTTCCATTTTTAATTTTCTGAGGTAACTCCATACTGCTTTCCACAGTGGCTGCACCAGTCTGCATTTTTGTCAACAGTGCGTAAAGGTTCCCTTTTCTCCACATCCTCGCCAGCACAAACATTTGCTGTTTGTTGATTTATTGGTGTTAGCAATTTTAACAGCTATGAGGTGACATCTCATTGTGATTTTATCTATTGTTTTAAGATTGTATTTATTTACTTTTAGAGTGAGGGGGAGGGAGGGAGAAAGAGAAGGACAGAAATAGCAATGTGTGAGAGAGACATCAATTAGTTGCCTCTCAAACCCCACCAAGCGGGGACCTGGCCCACCAACCCAGGCATGTGCCCTGACTAGGAATCAAACCAGCAACCTGTGGGTTCATGGACCCACACTCAATCCACTGAGCCACACCAGCCAGGGCTCATTGTGGTTTTAATTTGCATTTCTCTGATGATTAGTGACATAGAGCATCTTTTCATATGTCTATTGGCCACCTGTATGTCCTCTTTGGAGAGTGTCTATTCAGGCCTTTTGCCCATGTTTTAATTGGATTGGTTTTCCTTTGGGGTTGAATTGTATGAGTCCTTTATAAATTTTGGATATTAACCCCTTATCAAATGTATCACTGGCAAATATGCCCTTCCATTCAGTGGGTTGTCTTTTCATTTTGTTGATGCTTTCCTTTGCTGTGCAAACACTTTTTAGTTTGATGTAGTCCCGTTTGTTTATTTTTCCCTTTATTTCCCTTGCCCAAAGTCACATATCAGAAAAAATATTGCTATGACAAATGTCTGAGATTTTACTGCCTATGTTTTCTTCTAGGATTGTTATGGTTCCGAGTGTAATATCTATGTCTTTCATCCATTTTGAGTTTCTTCTTGCATGTGGTATGAGAAGGTGGTCTCATTTCATTTTTTTTTTGTATGTATCTGTCCAATTTTCCCAACACCATTTATTGAATAGACTATCTTTACACCATTGTATGCTCTTGCCTCTTTTGTCCAGTACTAATTGATCATAAAAGCATGGGTTTATTTCTGGGCTCTCTATTCTGTTCCATTGATCTATATGCCTGTGTTTATGCCAGTACCAGGCTGTTTTGATTACTATGGGCTTATAGCATAGTTTGATATCTGGTAGCACGATTCCTCCAACTTTGTTCTTCTTTCTCAAGATTGCTGTGGCTATTGGGGGTCTTTTTGGTTCCATCTAAATTTTTGTAATATTTTTTCTAAGTCTGTAAAATACACCATTGGAATTTTCATAGGAATTGCATTTGATCTATAGATTGCTTTGGGTAGTACGGACATTTTAATTATGTTAATTCTTCCTATCCATGAGCACAGCATGTACTTCCATTTGTTTTATCTTCTTCAGTTTCTTTCTTCAGTGTCTTATAATTTTCCAAGTACAGGTTTTTACATTCTTGTTATACTTACTCCTAGGTATTTCTATGCAATTGTAAATGAGAATGTTTTCTTAGTTTCCCTTTCTGATAGTTCATTATGGGTGTATTAAAATGCAATTAATTTCTGGATATGTATTTTGTATTCTGCTACCTTATTGAATTCATTGATCAGTTCTAGTAGTTTTTGATGGAATCTTTAGGGTTTTCTATATACGGTATCATGTCATCTGCAAATAATGACAGTTTTAATTCCTCCTTTCCAATTTGGATACCTTTTATTTCTTCTTCTTGTCTGATTGCTGTGGCTATGACTTCCAGTACTATGTTGAATAAGACACATGAAAGCAGACATCCCTGTCCTGTTCCTGATCTTAAGGGAAACGCTTATAGTTTTTGCCCATTGAGTATGATGTTGGCTGTAGGTTTTTTATATATGGCCTTTATTATGTTGAGGTATGCTCTCTTTATTCCCATTTTGCTGAGTGTTTTTATCATAAATGAGTGCTAGACTTTATCAAATGTTTTTTTCTGCATCTAGTGATATGATCATGTGATTTTTATCCACATTTTGTTTATGTGGTGTATCACATTTCTTGATATGTGGATATTGTACCAACCTTGCATCCCTGGAATAAATCCCACTTGATTATCATGTATGATCTTTATAATGTATTGCTGGATCCAGTTTGCTAATATTTTGTTGAGGATTTTAGCATTTGTGTTCATCAGGGATATTGGCCTCTAATTTTCTTTCTTTGTAGTGTCTTTATCTAGTTTTGGAATCAGAATGATGCTTGCCTCCTACAATGAGCTTGAATCATTTTGAAAGATATTTTCACTGGATATTAAATTCAATGTTGAGATTTTTTTTTCCCTCCATAACTTTAAAGATGTCATTCCTGCCCCTGCTGGTGAGGCTCAGTGAATTGAGTGCCGGCCTGTGAACTGAACAGTCGCCGGTTCGATTCCCAGTCGGGGCACATGTCTCTGTTGCAGCCAAGTCCCCAGTTGGGGGCGGGCTGTTTCTCTCCCTCTCTTTCTCCCAGCCTTCCTCTCTCTCTAAAAATAAATAAATAAAATCTTTAAAAAATAAATAAAGATGCCATTCCTAGCATACATTATACTCAAGAAGTCAAACATAATTTTGACGTTTTGGTGGTGGTAGGGGGCAGTGCTCTTGTTGCTTTTCTGACGAAATAGATACTTGGAAGTCCTTACTGGGACATTCCAGAGTGCTTCTTGTCCATCTCATGGTGCATCAGTTAGAAAGGAAACTTTTACCCGCCTTCCAGACATGTCCTATTGTATAAAGTACTTCTAACACTACCTGGTACACAGCAAACACTTAATACGTGTTAGATAGTTCACTCTTTCTAGATCAGTGATTCTGAGGTAAGGTCATTTGTTGATTACAAAGGGAGGAGAGGAGAGTAGCCCAGGTTGGCATAGCCTCTGGAAGAAATGGGGGAGGGAGCCAATCAAGGACAAGTAAAAGGATGGTGAAGTGGCACTAGAGCGGAAAACAGGACCGCAGTGCCAGCAGTCTATGTGGTGTGCTCCGCTGCCCTGCCAGTGGTGCAGGAGGCAGGCGATTGTAGAATTATATCAGAGTTTGGGATCTGTAGAGCAGATGGGTCAGGAAAGTTGTTGAAGATGCTGTGGAAGACTAGTTCAGGCTGTGGAGGCGCCATGGGTAGGGGATGCAGGTGCAGCCAGAAATCTCCCGATGGATTGGGAGGAAACCAAGGGGTCAAGATCCCCAGAGGACACTACGAGACTAAAGAGAAAGTGTAGTAGGAGAGACGAAGTTAAGACACTGGGCGGGTAGGAGATTGGAGTCACAGATGAAGGTGTTAGAGGGTCTGGAAAAGGCCGTAATTTGAGGAAAGAAAGGCCCTGGCTCAGAGGCAGGCAGAAGCTGGACACCAAGTTGGGGAATGAGTAAGATGGTGAGGATGGGGGAATGGCCTGCAGGCTTCTTCTGGTCTTGAAATCATTCTCCTGTTCTTATAGAGGCCGCCCTTCTGGGAGGCCAAGAAGCTGTCGGGCTCTGATCGGAAAGAGGCTGAGAATCAGAGAGTACCAACATTGAAAGAGCTGCTGAAGGAAGCAGCAGCCCTCAATCTCTCCATTATGTTTGACCTGCGCCGCCCCCCACGGAACCACACATACTATGACACTTTTGTGAACCAGACATTGGAGACTGTGCTGGATTCAAGGGTGTCTCAAGCCACGGTGATGTTGCCAGGATCCCAAGTGCCCTTCACCATCCTCCCCCAACCCCCGCCTTCCCTAGGCCACAGTGATAATCTTGAGCTGCCCCTGCCCCAGGGCCCCACCCCAGTTTATGTACCCCATCCTGTGGTCAAACCTGCATGCTCTGCCCCTGCCCCTGGAATCCCCGGGCCTCCCCCAGCTTTATGCTCCGCCTCCCCGAACCACAGGTCCTGTGGCTCCCAGATGAAGATCGGGCTACTGTCCAACAACAGGCACCTGGCATGCGCCAGGTATATGGACACCAGGGAGTCAACACAACCGAGAGGCCCCTGCTTCTCAACCTCCCCTATCAAGACCTGCCACAGCTGGATATGAAGTGAGTACCAGAGGCAAGGAGCCATGGGCACCACATGTGGCTAACGGCAGGGAAGAGCCAATGCAGGGAAGGCAAAGACCATTCACTCATTCAGTCATACAGCAAGTATTTATCACACACTTGCTATGCGTCGGGCACTATTTGTTGCAGGCTTTGGACATACAAGTCAAAGAGAAAGACCACAAACCAATGAACCACATATACGCATGTTGGACACCAATAAGTGATATGAAGACGATAAGATGTAGGGAGATACAATAAAGCAACTGGGGTTGGGCATGAGGGGATAGGGAGGAGTCACATTAGGAATAACAGTTAAAAAGGTGGTGTCTGGGCTGAGACCTGATGGGTCACAGGAGCAAATGACGAGAAGAGCTGCAGAAGAGCAGGAACAGCAGCCTGATGAGCACAGGGGGAGCGAGGCTGGAAAGGTAGGCAGAGGCCAAATTGGGTAGGACCTTGTAGGCCATTTAGCTTTCATTCTACCCCAAAGAGATAAGTACAAGAGAGGATGAGCCCTGGCTGGCATAGCTCAGTGGACTGAGCGCGGGCTGCGAACCAAAGCGTCGCAGGTTCGATTCCCAGTCAGGGTACATGCCTGGGTTGCAGGCCATGACCCCCAGCAACCGCACATTGATGTTTCTCTCTCTCTCTCTCTCTCTCTCTATCTCTCTCCCTTCCCTCTCTAAAATAAATAAATAAATAAATAAAATCTTAAAAAAGAGAGAGAGAGAGGATGGATGCACGGGAGAGAGGTGAGGCTGTTGCAGATGTCACCTGGGCCCCCAAAACTGACCCAGCCAGTAAATATGATGAACCTCAAAACATTCCACTGCCAAAATCTCTACCAATGTTCTTGTGTTCAGACAGAAAAAACGAGGACCAAAGGAGAGCCCAGTTATTATAAGTATGTCAAGGACCTTTCCCCCAAGTTGTCACCAAGGAAGGAGACACGACATTGGGTTTGGCCCCCACCTTAGTCTTGTCCTTGGTCAGCATCAACTGCTGACCACATTTTTTTTTTAGATTTTTTTTCAAGGGAGGGCAAGGTAACAAGAAAGAGAGGGAGAGAACATCAATGTGTGGTTGCCTCGCACATGCCCCCTACTGGGGACCTGGCCTGCAACCCAGGCATGTGCCCTGACTGGCGATCAAACCAGCAACCTTTTGGTTCACAGGCCAGTGCTCTATCCACTGAACCACACCAGCCCAGGCCGATCATGTTTTTAAAAATCTGAATTGGTAATGATCCCACTGATGATGAAATGAAGGCCCTGAAAGGTCTAAGCACTCTGAGATGATGGACCAAATGTACCGAGATGAAATGCAACAGGGATAGATGGAAAGGCCTATATTTGGGGCCCAAAAGAAGCTCAGTTGCACGAAGACAAGAGAAAAGACACTGGCATTAGCAGAAATACGTGAAAAGACCAGGGCTCTGACTGAACAGTACGCATACTGAGTCGTCCGCGCCACATCCCATCGCTGAAACTAACCTGGCCTGGGCTGCCTTCACACAGGCCTGAAGGCAGGAAGAGTCCGGCTCTCCTCAAAGCTTGTGCATGCCACCTGGATATCGTGTGCAGCTGCGGACCCCATACTTCGAAAGGAACACTGGTCAACTGGAGGAAGATCGGATGAAAGGGCTTTATGTGGCGAAGGAAGTGATAAGCCAGGTTCCAAGCCCCAGGTGAAGGAACCGCAGCTGTTGGGCCTACAAAGGAGAAGACTCAGGGGGGACACGGTCGCTGATCCTCAGCCTTCCGAAGGGCTGGCTGGCCGGGGACGAAGAGGAGAGACACATTCGGGTGGCCCCAGACAGCGAAGCTAGGAATCTACCAAAAGACAGAGTAGAACTCTGCAAAGAAAATCGCCTCTGGTCGGGGGCTGCCAAGCAAAGGTGGAATGGCGAGCCCGTTGGCAGTGACACTATAGACTCGAGCCAGACAGGGGCTGCCTCCCACACCTTGTGCTCCAGGAGCCTGCATGTACCCTGTTTTTTTCCACCTCCTTAGGGCACTGCATGAGGATAATGTCTCGGTGAACCTGTTTGTAGTGAACAAGCCCTGGCTCTTCTCCCTCCTCTGGTGTGCAGGGGTGAATTCAGTCACCACCAACGACTGCCAGCTGCTGCAGCAGATGCGTTACCCCGTCTGGCTTATTGTAAGGGCTCGGAGAGTGTCCCCCTTCCCTGCCTCCCCTGAACCCTGTCCCTCTCTTCCTTACTTTTCCACGATATACTACCTTTGGGGCTCCGGCCACCGACAGGGGCCTATTCTTATTCCCATAGGCCCCTCAAACCTACCTAATGGTGTGGATCGCCACCGACTGTGTCTCGGCCCTGCTGATTTTGTGTCACTTCCTCCTCCGTGGGTGAGTGCTTTGGGCCTCAGCTTGCTGGATCTTTATCCTCCCCAAGGGCCTGGTGATAGGACTGATTCAGACTCACATATGCTGCCTGGGGGTTTGGGGTCAGCTGTGTTTGGTTCCTTTGAGATTCTTAGACTCTTCCTCGGACACCAAATTGGCTTGAACCCGGGAAAAGCATATTGGGGAAACTCAGGGGCAAAAGGTTGTGCCTGAACCTGGCTGAACTCACAATGGGAAGCTTCTCTCCCTGTAGGAGATGTGCGGAGAAGAGAGAGCGAACTGGTAAGAACTTTCTTCCCTCACCTCCTTTTGCTTATCTGCTAGCCTTCCCCTTACTCATCCCCACCGTGCCCCCCTCCCCTCTCCAGGCTTAGAAACAGCTGTGCTGCTCACCAGGATCAACAATGTGAGAAGGGAGTGAATGCCCTGCCCTAGGCCCCCACCAGCTGTTTACGTCTGCCAACAGCAAGGAAGGAGATGGCTGAGGTGGAGTGCTGGGAGTGTTGGGGTGAGGTGAACTTTGCCAACTGGAGGTTTTGAACTATGAGCGCCTTCTGCCCAGATGGTGGACTTGTCCATGGAGTATGCTTCCCTTCAGATTTTGGCCTGAAGTGGTGGTGGAAGACAGTGAGTCATGAAATTTTTGTCCTGGGGGAAAAATGTTTTAGTACAAAGGAGATTGCCAACATCATGTTTCAGACTTGTGCACATGTGTTCATATGCAAAGCATGGGGTGTGTCAGGGGTAGGACAACTTGGAACAGTGACTGAAGAGAGGACGGGACATCCTTCTCAGAACTGTGAGATGATGAAGACACCAATCCCACTCCATTCACCATCTCCCTCGACATCGGCAATTCAACTGCTCTGCTACCTACTGGCTGGAGGCTAAACAGCCCATGTAGCCATGCAGTTCTGTGTGTATAGGTGACTTTTTTGTTGCATACAGCCTTTTTCTCCAAGACTTGTCAGTTCCTGTTTCTTCTCGATCCCATCTCTGAATACATTTTATTTCCATTTGGTCACAGTCTTATCTTTTCAGCAGTGGGGCTGGGCGGAGGATGCACCCTGTATGTCACGTGACAGTGAGGGGTCGTCATAGGGAGATACATTGGAGGTGGGAGTAAGAGCACTTGAGGCAATGAAAGGCTGCAAGAGGGAAGCTAGAGAGCCTTTGCCCCGGGAGGCAGTCCAGGTGCCCCTAGGCGCGCTGTGCAGGGTTGCTTTCTAGCTCCACCTTGTGGTCACCTGTCCCAAAAGAAGGGCCGTGTCGGTCATCCCAGTGACATGTTTGCTGAATGACACCTGTTTCCCCTGCCAGTTGGGAACCGGTGTCCTTGACTCCAGACCCTGATGGCATGGTCCAGTTTCCACAAGTTTTTGCTTCTCTGGGCTGCACGTAGCATCTGGTTCCCCGGCCTGCCTTTCCCTGGAGGAGTAAGTTTCCCAGTGTGTCTGCTGCTCATGAGTGCCTGCGCTAAACAGTTCAGGTGACTAGCGCGGAGCTGGCGTAGGACGAGGACTCTCGTAGAAGGGGGTGGAGCGAAGGCAAAAAGGGAACAGGAGGGGGATCGGCGGCTGACTTTTCACAATTGTTGTGCAGTCCCCCACTGCATAGCATTCACCCAAGTTCGTATCTCCACACGAAGACAAAACGAGTTAAGGATCTGGAGAGTTCAGGAGGTTCAGTTCCCCATTCCTCCCCTCTCGCCAGACTGGGACCTGGGGCAGCACTAGCACCTGAGAACAAGCCCCTACTAGGTCGCAGGAAAGCCCCTAGAACTACAATTCCCAGGATGCACTGGCCACTTCCGGTCTCTTGATTGAGATTGACGGAGGCGAGTTTGAATTTGTGTTTCCGCCCCCCTCCTGGGGGACCCCGCCCCTTCCCCCTCACCGCCCCGCCTTCCTGCACACATTTGCACATGCACCCGCGCACATGCACACAGAGGCTGTCGCGGACGCCAACATACCTGGCCTGCAGCTGGCGCGGTGGGCGGGGCGGGGCACCGCGTGCTGCGCGCCGGCAGGCAGAGGCGTTCCGGAAGCGTTCCGGGGCTATTGCGGGTCGGGTCTTCCCGGGGTTCACATCTCCTGCTACCCGGCAGGTCTTTTTCACACGCTGCCTTTCCGGACTGTATATTCTTAGTTTTGCCTGTTCGCGATCCTGTCCCACAGTCAGGCCGACTCACGGCCTCAGCTCTGGGGCTCCCAGCCTGTCAGGCACTGCCAGCTCTCACCTCTGAGCATGTACCTCCTCTCCCCATCCCGACTTTTCTGTCCCCTCCCAGTCGTCCAGCCTCATCGCCCTGCAGCCTTTTCTTCCTCTCGCCTTCTGACCTAACCCTGACTACCTCCAGGATCTCTAGCCTCCTTAACTGTCAGCGCCCAAGCTCTGAGCTGTAGCCCTCCTACCCCAGCTTCTACACCCCCGAGAGAATGCAGGACCCAGCTCCAACCCCTGAACCGTAGCCCCTAGCCCCTAGCCTTGGGTACTCATCCCTGAGCCAGCCACTGCAAATCCTTACTATCTTCCCAGGAGGACTGGATAGCACACTTACGCTCTGTGAGACCCTGGACTGGAGACTGAAATGGACGAAAACTTGAGGGCAGAGGGACAGGGGAAGCAGCTCATTGGGGTTCAGGTGTGGTTGCTCAGTTATTTTTAGCTGCTGACTCACAACTTCTGGCATCTGGGCTTGGGGCAACCAGACTGGGCTAGGGGGCTATTAATAGGGCTGAGGCACAGTCCCTACCCAGTTCAGTTTGGAAGCACACAGAGCCAGGAGCCACCCCCTGCCATCATGCCCTGTGCAGGTGCACTGGACTGGGGCAGTGGCTGGACCAGTACCTCTCTGGGTGCCAGTTTCTTCGCATGATATCTCTACCTTGCAGCTCTTGAGGGAAAGCTCACCATGAGACTCCTGGGCACAGCTCTCCACTAGGCTTGCATGGTTTGGGCTCTACTGCAATGATGTTCCTGTTTTACTAGGCGAAAGTGAAGAAACGAGTCCGAGCGCAGCGGCCTTGGCCTGCCTAGACCTACTCCTGGGTCAGAGCACTAGGTTACTAGGAGAAAAAGCTCTGGATCTCTGGTCCTCAAAGGCTGTCACGAGGATAGGGTGTGCAGCATGGTCGGAACAGAGAGGGAGGGCACAGAGCCAGGAATTTGCTAGCCCCAAACCAGACACAGCAGTAGGAAGCTGCCTAATTATTTCTTGAGCACCCTTGCATTCTTCTTTTTATTTTGTCCTCTCTTGTTAGGCCTGTCCTTACTCACAGGGGTCAACAAACCTCAGGATCTCTCTCTACTCTATAGAGAAAACGAGTTCAGGAAAGCAAGTGAGAAATTTGTCTCCACAAAGGTGGGAATGATCCTCTATACAGGGTCTGGCCTGCTTGAGTGTGGTCGGAAGGGTAATAATATGGGTGTAATAATTTATAGTTTTATTTTGAACACTTCACCTAAAATGTCATATGGTGTGCTTGAGTGTGATACTGTCATGTTACAGAATGACGTGCTTATGATTTTGTAATAAAAGAGTTTGTGATAAAAAGGGGTGTTATTCATGCCAGACCCTGTATATTGGCATTCCTATGAGGCCTTTTTATTTTAATGAGCTAAAGTAGCAGTTCCCTAATTGATACATTAGGAGTAGTGGGGAAATCTTGATACCTTACTGGACTATTCACCCAAAATTTCCTGCCTATGCCCAGTTTGCTAGAATTCCCATAGACCAAGGATGAACACCCACAGCAATGCCCCCTCCTTGCAAACCAGAAACTTCTGCATTCATCACCCCCAAACTCTGGCTCCCAGGAGAAACCAGATGGCTCTGGGGCAAAGGTGATTGTTTCTGCACATACAAGGACTGAGGCCACCCAATTAAGAAATTCTTCACTCTACTTTAAAGAATAAATCCGGGTATTCTGACAGCAGCGGGCCGTGCTGCCCCAACTCCATTAATGTACTCAGGGCGCCGGAGAGACGGTGGATGGGATGAGAAATTGTCTCCCTCCTCCTCCCCAATCCCTTCCCGTACTCATCCATTGCCTCTGTCTGAGAAGGTCCTCCGGTTGCCTAGCAACCACAGTGCCTGCCAGGACACGGATCTTCTTTTGGCCTGTAGGGGGCGCCTGTCTTCCTGGGGCCTCAGGCTCAGCAGCTGGGAATAATTTTCAAGTGTCAAAGTATTTCAGGCTTCTCAACCCAGTCCAGTCTGAGTCTTAGAGCCTGGGGAGTGGAGAAAAGCTCACTATGAATCTCAAGGGATTTTACTCAGATTCATAAAAATGAAAAGAAGAGAGAGAGAGAGAGAGAGAGAGAGAGAGAGAGAGAGAGAGAACGCCAGTCAATAGGGATGGGGTGTGGGGAGGATAGTTTGACCCTCTCCAGTTACTCCAGGTTCAGGAATGCTTATTGCTCAATCAGAGAAGTTCAGAGGGCCCAGGCTATATATAGTTTTTTTTTTTTCCCTGAACCATTTTTAGTAAGTAGAAAAAGAGTCTAGCAGTCTATATTGACAAACTGCTGAGCATAAAAAAAGACTTTAAGCTCCAAGGTTACCGGTTTAACCTAGATTTGGTCATAAAGGAAGATATTTCTTCATTTGTTCATCCAACAATAATAAACCCTAACCCCGTGTGTGCCAGGTGGTGTGTTAAATGTTTTACATTTAATCCTTACAAAAAAAAAAAAAACCCTATGATTGTTTCCATTTCACAGATCAAGAAACTGGAGCTCAAAGAAGTACAATCACATCCAAAGTCACACAAGTCGTGACGAGGTTGGGTCTCACTGAGCAACAACTGTGTGCCAGTGTCCAAGACTATAGAAAACAAGACACCCTCTCTTTTCTCTACCTGATGAACACCTCTTTACCCTTCACGATCAAACTACAATGCCGTGTCTTTTGCAAAACTTTGCTTATATCCTCCCCCCACAGGTAGAGTTGATAGCTTGCTTTTCTGTATGCCCCTCTGCAATATGCTTTTCACAGGTATGGAAACAATCGGCTTCCATATTTCTTATTTTTAAATAAGGTTTTACTTGTTTATTTTTAGAGAAAGGGGAGGGGAGGGAGAAAAAGAGGGAGAGAAACGTCAATGTGTGGTTGCCTCTTGCGCACCCCCTACTGGGGACCTGGCCCACAACCCAGGCACATGCCCTGACTGGGAATCGAATTGTGACCCTTTGCTTCTCAGGCCCTCACTCAATCCACTGAGCTCCACCAGCCAGGGCAACTTCCATATTTCTATTTCTGTAACTTTGAGCACCTCAGCAGCAGGGCCTGTTTCCTATTCATCTTCACTTGGATGTCTAATAGACATCTCAAAATCAACATATCCAAATCGAAACATCTGCTCTTTTTGTCCAGAATGATCCCTCCTAAAGCTGTCCTCATCTCAGTCGATGGTAATTTAATCCTTCCAGTTGCTCTGATGAAAAACCTTGCAGCCACACCTCATGTCCGATTCATCAGCAAATCCCGTTGACTCTCCCTTCAAAATACACCTAGAATTTGCCCTGCCTGGGTGGTTCAGTTGGTTGGAGCATCATCCCGTGCACCAAAGGGTTGTAGGTTTGATCCTCTGTTGGGGCGCATATGGGAGGCAACCAATCAATGTTTCTCTCTCATATTGCACGTTCTCTCTCTCTCTCTCTCTCTCTCTCTCTCTCTCTCTCTCTCTCTCTCTCTCTCTCTCTCTCTCTCTTTCTCAAATCAATTTAAAAAACATATCTTCAGGTGAAGATTAAATAGATATGAGGTCTGTCCAGAAGGTATCCAGCCATGTAATATGAAAAATTGAGACAGTTACTGAAGAAGATACAAGAAGCATTGTACATAGGACAATGACTCCTCAGTCCCCTTCAAAGTAGTCAACTTGGGACCTCACACAGTTCTCCCAATTGCCATCAGCTGCCTCACTGTATTTTCCTGAATCTCATCAACTGTCTGAAATCTCTTCCTTTTCAAAGGTGATTTTAGTTTTGAAAAAAGCCAGAAGT